TTTGTAGAACTATATTTCAGGAAAAATGCTTCCTGTGGTAAAAGTCAATCAAAAATAATATAAAATAGGGACACTGGGCATACTAATTCTCTTTAGAAAAGATGGGCGAGTACAAGACACTCCGCTCCCATCTGAGCAGCAGCATCCCTTACTCCCTCCTACTCTGGCCCTGCTGCACCACACACCACGTGCCATCCCCACATCTCCATTCTCAGAGGCTCCCAACAACTCCACCTGCCTCTCACACATTCTGTGACTCCACTTCCTTTCCCTAACGCCCCTGCCCCTCAGCAGTGTGCCGCCAGGGCCAACCCCACGTGCCTGCGCTACCCACCCTCCTTCACGAATGTCGATGCCTCCCGGAGCCCCATGTGCTTGCCTCAGCCGCCCCGACCCTTGGCCCGGGCACGTGCGCCTCCTACGCCCACGGCGTCTCCGCAGAGCTGCCACTGCCCCCCATACTCGGCGGCCCGCCCCGGCGCCACGTGCCCGGCCCACCACGCGCCTCTCCCAGTCTTTACCCGCCGGGCTCTGGGTCCGGAGGCTGATGTAGCCGCGCAGCTTCTTCAGCGCCCGGTCCCGGCTCCGCTTCTCGTTGGCGGCCAGTCTCTGCGCGAACTGGATCTCGGGCGGCTGCACGGCGGCGGCGGCGGCAGGAGCCATGGTCCCTGCTCCACCATCCCCCTTCGCCCCCGCTCCCGCTGCTGGGTGAAAGGCGTCCCCCCCCGCCGGCCCGCTGGAACCGGCTGACGCGTTCCATCGAACGCCCGCTGATTGCGTCACACTCGCTCTCTGTCGCAAAAGTTGCCGGTCTCTCCGGGGAGGGTTCTGCTCTTAAAGGGCCAGTAGTCTCTTGGACAGGTGCTTCCGCCTGCTGGGAAAATGTGCCGGTTGCAGTTTGTGCCACTACAGCGGCTTGGTTTGCTGTGGGGAGCCCAGAGGCTGTTCTGCGCTGGTAGGCTCTGCTGCTCCACGGTGCAGGAAGAGCACCTAAGTTTAGGCCCTGCCAGGCCATTGTTGCAACACTGAGCGTTCCCTGGCCCACCCGCCGCAAATTGTAGCTGGTAACAAGGCACGCTGTACATTTTAACGACCCCCCTCCCATGGCTTCCGTAGAAGCGGTGCCCAAAGTCCCCCTGCACTTTTGCTGGACACAGATGCTTTTCAGTATATAAAGCACTATCTCGCTCCGCCCCCCATCCCGGCCCACTGGGTACTGCATTGCTTGAAACCCTAGATTAGGAAAAACAGCTTCAGGGATTAGTAAACATGGACTGAAAAATCCAGGCAAACAAACCCCACAGGTGAGAAGTGAATGCGTTTAGGTTTTTGACAGAAATCGGAAAGCCCCTGTTTAACAAAAAGCGTTCCCCTACAATTCTAATGTTTATTTTAAACCTACTAGTCATCTCTTTGCTTTGTATCAGCTGCTCTGACCAGCACTGCCAACTCCCATTAAGGTGCACAAGTATTATTATTTCCATTTTACAAATGGGGATGTGAGGCAGCAAGGCCATTGCTACAAATGGATCAATGCAGGTGAGTCATGCCTTCCTGGATCCAACTATTGGAGTGGGCATCACCCCCACAGAAAAATTTTCATGGTCGGGGGGCCTTGAATTATGCAAAAATCATGTAAAAAAGTTTGTGGAAGGGACTCAAACTGAATTTAGAACCCCTAAATATCAGTGCAGTGCCTTAACCACAAGACCGTGCTTCCTACTTTGCAATTATACAGTGTTTTTTAACTTCAAAACGTTATATGGAAAACAGAGTCTGTGTATGCAGTTATAATGCCAAATCAAGGAGCGACTGCCTGGATCTGTTCTTCTATTCTCATAAAATACTGCAATATATTGTCAGCGCACAGAATCCAAAACACACAGGCCCAGGCTCAAAGGCAGTTAGGCAACTAAATACCTCTGAGGATCTGGACAACAGTTCATAATTTGTTACAATGCAGACTTTTGCCTGCAAAAACAGGGAAGCCACACTTGACATGCTAATTCTTTCTACATTCTTTCAACAGCACATACCTCTGATTTTCTCTTTCAGATTACTTATTTTTTCTAACCTTCCAGATATCCTGTCATACACACTGTGCAAGTACATGAAAAAGAAAATGTCTGCAAAATGCTTTGAATATTTACCTTAATTAGTTAATTTATTTGGGGGTGATAGATCAGTTTTGGAAGTTACTTTGCTCAAAAATGACTCTTGCCAAGTTAAAGCCAATAATGAGTTTATTTATTTATTCATTCAGGGACTTCATCCTGCAATAAATTCTGTGTGGCTGGACCTAGCTACAGGATTGGGGCCCAGCTAAAGTTGTAGTACTAAATGCTTGTAACAAAAGAGTGAATTCTGACTTTTATCCAGACCTTGTGACTACCTTCTACTTTAAGGCACACAATCAATTTTAAATTCACACTTCTGTTTGAAACTATTTATATCTATTATAGTTTACAAGTAATATCTAAGATTACTAGAAATGACAGAGGAATAAACATTTTTTTTCAGCTTGCTTACTTTGTGGATTTGATAACACTTTAGGTTCCATCCTACAGGCTGTTCCACAGGGTCAGATCCCTGTGCCCATGTGGTTCCCATAGAGACCAGTGGAACTCCATATGCAGGCACAAGAGGCCAGCTATGTAAAATGCAAACAGGATAAGAGTCTTGTTTCCCTGTTGTCTGTGTAAATTTTTCCACAAACAACAAGAAAGAGAAAAGTATTTTTAAGGGATAGGAAACTATGATAGTAAAATCACAAAGAGTAGAAGCAGTATTCAGGGGTAAGTGTATTAATTAAACAACATTTAATTTCTGTAAAACTGACCAAATTGCAAATTGACAGTGTCTGTGTGACCTCTTTCATGCTTAAGCTTTATGCTTAAAACATCTTAACAGTTTCTGCGATTCCTCCATTAAGCCCAGTGTTGTAACTATATTTTAAAAAGGCTGTAATGGTGATCTGGGGAATTACAGACCAGTAAGACTTACATCTATACCCGGACAAATTATTTGAAACGATTAAAAAACAAATAAAACACTTGGAAGGTCATGGTATGATGATTGGGTCTAACCAGCATGGTTTCTACACAGGAAAATAACATCTCACTAATTTCTTACAGTTCTTTGAATACATCAGTAAAGTAGTGGATAAAGAAGAACCAGACAACAATTTATTTAGATGTCCAAACAGGCCTTTGACAAAGTCCCACACAAAAGACTATAAGAAGCTAAGCAGTCACGGGATAAGAGGCAAAGCATTGTTATGGAACAAAAATTGGCTAGGAGAAATTAAGCAAAGAGTAGGATTACTTGGTTTTCCTTACTGTAAAAAGTTAACAGGGTGCCTCAAAATTCCAGAGTAGGTCCTGTAGTATTAAACAATGGTCTGGAAATAGTGGTGAGAAGTATAAAAGTTGCAATGACAAAGTTATTTAGGTTAGTCAGGAACAGAAAGGACTGTGAGGAACTTCAGAGAGACATCAACAAGCTAGGCAAATAGGTAACATGATGGTGAATAAAATTCAGTATTGATAAATGCAAGTAATATATACTGAAGGGAAAAATTATTTTATACATCTTATAGCGCTCTAGATTAACTCTCTCAACCCAGGAGAAGGACCTGGGCATCACTCTGAACAGCGCAATGAAGCCCTTGGCTCAATGTGCTGCAGCATTTAAAAAAAATCTAAATGTTAGGATGCACAAGGAATGGGACAGTGACTAATAGAATATTGTAATGCCTTCATATCAATCAAAGTAGCATGGCCTCATCTAGAATATCATATGCAGTATTAGTTATCCCATCTCAAAAAGGATATTGTAGAATTAGAGCGGTGTTCAGAAAAGGATAAGGAGAATAGCTGGAGACATGGGAAAATTCTCATGTGAAGAGAGATTTAAAAGATTGCAATTTTTTTTATTTTAAAAAAGGAGACAAGAGGGGACATAACAAAAGTATATAAAATAGAGAAGCTAGACAAGACCCATCTGTTTTGCCTGTCTCCTAACACAAGTACAAAGGAACATCCAATGAAGTTTAGAAGTGGGAAATTCAAAAACCAATAAAGGTTTTCCACAGAGTATGTAATTAGACTCTGGATCTCATTGCTACAGGATGTCTTTGAGATCAAGAACTTAGTAAAATAAAAAAGAGATTGATAGACAATTATATCAAGAATATTAATTTTTTTTGAAAGAATATTAAAGCTGATGTTTAAACCAATTTTTTAGCTAGTGCTCATCCTAGTCTCTAGTAACGTGGGACAGGGCAGGTCATCCCACGTCTCCCTACTGCAAGCGCTCTTCCACTTTGCTCTGAAGTATCTTGTGCCGCCCAGAGACGATACCGGACTAGCAGGGCCAGTATGGCATTGGCACTCCCTGTGTGCGTAATGGACATCAAACACTTGCACTTTGCAGAAAATCCAAGTTGCCTGATTACACTCCTCTTCCGATTGACTTCACTTATTGTTACTAGCTGAACTGCCAGTTTTAAAAACTCCCGCTCGCCTGTTTGTTCCTTTGGAGCTGAAACCTTCATGGGCATCAGTAGCCCCTTAAAAACCAAAAAACAGCGCCACAGCAATCCCCGCCCACGCAGCAGCGTCTGCACCCAGCTCCCAGCCCAGGCACCACGGCTCGGGCACTAGCCACAGGGCAGGGCCTTATACTAACCCCCCTTCAAACGCTGCCCTTGGATTGGCCCGCGTTGCGCACCGTCCGCTCCCCAAACACGTGCTCGCCCCCCGCAGCTACTGGGCCCCACCCGCTTAGGAGCAGCCCAGGTAGGGGGCGCCCTATCTGCCCCGCCCCTGAACGACAAAGAGGCTGCGGGGCCAGGACGAGCAACGAAAGCCCCGCCCCCAGAGGGCCCGCCCCCTACGCGGCCGCGGGTCTAACTCAGCCCGCAACCCGCCAGGCTCCGCCCCTCGCCTCTGTGAGACTGGCGGGGCGGGGCGTTGAGGGGGAGTCACGTGGCGCGGAGGCGCGTGGTGGGCGGCGGCGCTGCTGAGTTCCTCGCGCTGAGGCTGGCGCTATGAAGCGGAGCGCGCGCCCCGCAGGGGACGGGCAGGTAGAGCGGGCGGCGCCGCCCGCCTTCCCGCGCGGCCCCTCGCGTCAGCGGCCCCCTGGGCATCCGCCCCCCCCCCCTCCCGCCGGGGAGGTGGCAGCGCGGGCCCGGCCTAGGCCTCCCGCCCACACAGCGGCGGGGCCGGGGTCGGGGCGTGTCCCCAGGTGCAGGCGGGGGAGCAGCGCCCTGCTCCAGGCTGTGCAGTGCGGGGCGGCCCGTGGACGCTGAGAGAGAGGCTGGATAAACAGTCTGCCCAGCGAGGGCTGGCCTGGCTGCCCAGGGGGTGGAAGTGAATTTAAAAGGTGGAGAGAAATGTTGCAGGGCAGTTCCTGCACGGGAGTTGCCTACAGCTTGTTTAAAGGCTGAGGGTCAGATTTGCAGGATTGGCCAGTTCACGCTGCTCTGCTTGCAATCCATGCAGGCTATGGGTACCCTTGGGTACAACTGTACAGCAAGCCGGATCCCCTGGCAGCGAGACTCAGAGCCCAGGTCTAAAGGCTCAGGCTCCTGCTGTGGCGCTAAAGATCTTAGAACTGGAAGGGACCTCAAGAGATCATCTGGTTTAGTCCTCTGCACTCATGGCCGGACTAAGTATTATCTAGACCATCCCTGACAGGTGTTTGTCTAACCTGGTCTTACAAATATCCAACGATGGAGATTCCACAACCTCCCTAGGCAACTTATTCCAGTGCTTAACCACCCTGACAGGAAGTTTTTCCTGATGTCCACCCTAGAGTGCCTGCGCTCCAATTTAAGCCTATTGCTTTTTGTCGTATCCTCAGAGGTTAAGAAGAACAATTTTTCTTCCACCTTCTTGTAACAACCTTTTATGTAGTTGAAAACAGTTATCATATCTCCTCTCAGTCTTTTATTCAGACTAAACAAACCCAGTTTTTTCAATCCTCCCTCATAGGTTATGTTTTCTAGACCTTTAATCATTTTTGTTGCTCTTCTCTGGATTTTCTCCAATTTGTCCACATCTTTGCTGAAATATGGTGCCCAGAACTGAACACAAGACTCCACTTGAGGCCTAATCAGCGTGGAGTAGAGCGGAATAATTACTTAGATCTTGCTTACAACACTCCTGCTAATACATTCTAGAATAATTTTGTTTTGTTTGGGTTTTTTTTGTTTGGTTTTTTGCAGAACACCTGTGTTGATCAGGCTTGCTGTGTGGATGTACCCTTAGAAAACCAGGGCATGTTAAATACATTAAATGCTGTCACAGTGATTTCTGCTGTGAGACATGAGCTTGGGATGACTTGTGCTGATAGATACAAAGAAATAAAACTTCAGTTTGCAATCTGTAGTATATGTTTGTGTGAACCTTAATGCACTATAAAAGCACTATACTGGAGAGTATTATTCTCTCTACTTTTTTATTTTATTTTAAACACAGTTGAGGAAACTTGGTCACTGAATTCAAGTGATCTGTTCAATGTCACATAACTTTTGGAAGAACTGGGAATAGATAGAACTGGGTTATGTCTGACTAGTTACTTATTGTTATGTGCAGTGGTGTGGTAGCTGTATTGGTCCCAGGATATTAGAGAAACAAGGTGGGTGAGGTAATATCTTTTATTGGACCAACTTCTTTTGGTGAGAGAGATGAGTTTTTGAGCTTACATCGACCTGAAGAAGAGCTCAAAAACTTGTCTTTCTCACCAAAAGAAGTTGGTCCAATAAAAGATATTACCTCATCCACCTTGTCTCTCTAGTTACTTATGAAGCAGCCATTGCCACATAGTATTTGAGCACCGCATGGCACCTTTGTGCATTAGAGAAGTAGTAACCACATTTTACAGATGTGGAACCAAGACACAGTTAAATGATCTGCCCGGTGTTGCACGGGAAGTTTGTGGCAGTGTCAGGAATTGATCCTAATAGGTTTTTTGAGTTTAGTCTGGGGCCTTAATCACAAAACGATCCTTTCCTCTGTTAAATAGTCTGTATCTAGTTCCTTTCTTTTTAAAAAATATTCCAGCATGTGGGAGGTTTGAAAATACTCATTTCTGAGTGGAGGAAAGAAAATTAAACTTGGCTGTTGTAACTGTAATGTTGCATGAGATGAACTATATTTACTGAGAGAACCGTAAATTAGAACTTTCTCAATTTTGTAAATTTAACATCTCAGTCCAAATGTTCCAGTAACAGGTTTTTTTAATTTAGTGTTCAGTGCTGAATATATCCATCTTTGATGCCAATTCCAAATTGATTTCCATTTTTCTCAAAACTACTGATTTGCTGCTTTATCCTTCCTGTTTGACCACTTATCTACCCAGTTCCCTGGTTGGTCACACTGTTCATCTAAAGTCTTGCTGCCCCATTTATCTTCCCTTCCTCTGAGCCCCTTGGGATTTAATTCATTTTAATATTATTTATTATTTGTAATATGGTAGTACTTAGAGACCCCAATGTTGTTGGGCATTTTACAAACATATGACAAAGAGATGCTCTCTGCCCTGAAAACCTTACAATCTATGTAAAGAATCTTACTTTAATATTTTAATTTTCACTCTGTTGCCTGAACCAGAACAGCTGGGATTTTGTTAAGACCGCACAGGTGTGTTTTTGAAGTGCTGGTGGTGGGGAACTGCAAAAGAGAAAAGCAAAACGAGAAGTAAAAATTAAGGGAAGCATACAAAGAGATGAGAAAGAGGAGGAAGCAAGCAACCAAGAAGGGAGAGGAAATAATAGAAAAGGTGTGGGAGAAATACAAATGCCATAGGTGTTGTCCTGATAGTTTACTGGCAATGCATACTTGGAATGACCCTCACTCCCCCATCCACCTAGAGGTGGGAAAGTTGCATATACAGCTCAGCCCTTTAGGGAAAAGGCTACATGTATAGTTCTTTAGCAACCCCTTGTGGCTGACTGAAGGAAGTTTGTATGCAGTGTTGCAGTCATGCTGGTCCCAGGATATTAGAGACAAGTTGAGTGAGGTAATATCTTTTGTTGCAACAACTTCTGTTGATGAGAGAGACACATTTTCGAGCTTAAACAGAGCTCTTTTTCAGAAGGAAGTTTAACAGGTTTGAGGGGGAGCTGTTTTCACTAGAGGTTTCTTGCCAGCGTGGTAGTTACTGGCTTATTTTAAAAATTAACTGACCACTGTGGACGCATCTATTAGGACAGGTGGATTTGCAAGGCAAGAGGTGATAATCAGTTGCCTATCTATTTGCACATTTTTCAGGGTTACTATATGAACATTTCTGACTAGTTTTGGGGGGGGTTCTAATAGTGTACACATCAAATAAAGATTGGGGATTTCAACATATGTCTAGTTTTGTGTCCTTTTTGGTAGGTGAGGTAGTCCCCATAATGCAAGGTTCTTGGAGAGGGAGAAGGGGGGAAATTAAGTTTCCTGGGACGATGTTCCCTTCTGTCCCCCCTAAAAGGAGCAGAATTTAAATAAAAAGGGGAAATAAGAGGAGAGAGAGACACCACAAGAGAGACTTGTGGAAATAGGATTGTAAGAAAAAAAATAGACACATATAATACAAAGTGATCAAAGTAGAAGAGAGTAAGAAATATGTTGCTTCATTCTAGGGTGAAAAATTGTATTTGTGGGGTTTGTTTAGCACCCAGTTTAGTTGCCGGATGTAACATAAACATTATAATTGGATTGGAGGTTGAAATAAGCAAAATATCTTCTGAAATTTTGCAATCCTGCCTTTTGAAAGCATGTTGGAGAACAGATATTGAAGACAAAGAAAACCGAAGCTCTTAGTGATAACTCGTGAATGTACAGCAGAGTTTTCAAGACAGTGCAATGTGCACCTTTACCTCTGAGATTAGAGCTGAGTCCTCACTTTATTTTGGCATTGAGATTTATTTTTTTTTTAATCATGGGTTTTTTTAAACCAGAGCTAATTTTCTCAGATGCAGAGTTGAAATGGATGCTATAGCAATAGTTAGATACAAGAAGAGAAATTACATGACTCTTACTGGTCTTAACGTGGAATTTAATTGCTTCTGTGTGTTTTTGGTTCATCATGAATGTTAATTTAAGAATTTTTAAAATTTAATTGATCTTTTGTGGTGAATAGAAATATTTCCAGTAGAAGAACTATTATAATTTAGCAACATGGTTGGGGGGTTCAGAAAACTTTTGAGTTCATTTAAAAATTTGAAAGGTACAGCATAAGCCTTAGGTCATTCTAAAGACAGTAGTTCAGCATGTGCATGACACTTGCTATTGTCAAAGTCCCATGCTTTAAAAGACCACTAGATGACATTTTCTTTCAAAATAAAATTCTATATTTCTGAAGATATATTGAACGCAGGGAGATGCATTTGTGGGAGAGAAGGAAGGATGTGTAACCAGAATACAAATTAGAGAATATTGTAGAGGAACAAAGATATGTGGTCTGTTCCGTGTTTCAGAAGGCTGAGACCAAAGAGGAATTTGTTAAAGTCAGGAAGAGAGATTTGGAGAGACTGACAACTGAAGTGATGCAGTTACGAGACTTCCTGCCTCGAATACTGAATGGAGATGTCTTGGAGAGCTTCCGGAAATTGGATGTTATTGAAACAAGTGAGTTGCACCACATTAGCAGCAATCATAAATACTTCCAACACTGTTTAGAACAAACACAGCCCGGTTTGTACAAATGGCTATAGATTTTTGTTGACACGTTCTGCTTAAATATTTTGTTAAAGGATAACCCTGGTGTTTTTCAAAATTTCAGAATTAACTAGACATGTCAATCAATTAAATTTTTAAAAATGTTTCAATTAGTTAACTGAAGACAAAATCTTTATTTACTCACGCAAGCTGCTATTTTCCTATTAAAAGACAGAAAGGAAGAGAGATTGGGACAGGAAGAAACTCATTCTGCATTGAAAACCATGAGAGAAGTGCAACGGAAGATGAGGCTCCAAAGAAATTGGACCTTTTTGAACATAAGGCATATCTATCTGCTTTCTTTCAACTTTATATCACAAACTACTAGGCTTTGTTTGCAAAATACAGTTTTTTTGAGATGGCAGAGGGTAACCCCTTTCCTATCCAAGCTCCAACAGCTGTGGAGAAGAACTGAGGGAGACCATCAAAGAGGGCCAAATAGTAGTAAAGATGGTGCTGCTAGTTTCTGTGGATGCATCGTACATGGCTGCCGGATCCATGGTCATGGCCATTACACCTACATGCCTCTTGGTTGCAGACACCTAGTATTCCGAAAGAAGTACAAACTTCTATAAAAAAACTTCAAGGAGATGAAGTACTTCAGTAACTAGACGGATGAAGTGCTCCACCCCTTCAAAGATTCCAGAGCTCTGCTGAGGTCAGTAGTAAACTATTCTCCAGTACCATACTAAAAGCTGTTCCAGTACCAGCCCCAACACGACAAAGAATGCTATCCTTCCCACATAACAGCCAAGCAGAATAACCATCCAGGAAACAGCTTCTTATTCCAGAAGAGACCCGTCATCCTCCATCATGCACCCGAATCCCTCTCAGGGGCAGCAGGTTTGATGGGAGTGTCGGGAGCCTCATCAAGAGCAATCCAGAGTTGATCTTCAGAAAATGCTTTACCCCCTTCCTAGGGGTGTGGCCAGAGATTACTGCTGACAAATGGGTGTTCAACATTGTTGCCCACTGCTACCCCATCCACTTTCATTTTTTGCCTCTTGCCTACTTCCTTTTACTGTCCCTCTTCAGGGACTCTTCCTGCGAGTGCCTGTTACAGAAAGAAGTCTCTCAGAAGCCACAGAGAAGGTGCTGCAAGAGTACGGGGGTAGAGGCATCTGCTTGTAATACTTCCTTATTATGAAGAAAAAATGTGGTCTTCGTCCTATCCTACACCTGAGGAGACCAAACAAATATGTACACTGCCTCAGATTTAGGATTGTAATGGTTGCCTCCATTATTTCATCTCTTCAGGCTCAAGATCGGTTCTTTGCTCTCAACTCACAAGACAGACTTCCACATAGCTACCATCCATCTGGCCCTCAGGAAGTACCTGAGATTTACAGTGGGGCCTACTCACCAACAGTATAAGGTATTGTTATTCCGGCTCTTCACGTCACCAAGAGACTTCAGAAAATGCCTAACTGTGGTGATGGCAGCAGTGCACCTGAGAAAGAGGGTCATCCACATCTATCTATGGCCAGATAGTGTTAATCGGAGGCAGCTCACAACAAGAGACATTGACAAGTTTCAGTTATGTCCTCTGTCCCTTTTCCTAGCTGTACTTCCGGAAAATGTCCCTGTGGCCTGCCACCTCCCACAGCTCCCATTAGCTTGGAACTGCAAACAGTGGCCACTGGGAGCTGAGGGGGGCCATGCCTGCAGACGGTCAACATCAGCAAAATGTCTCGTGGCCCGCAATCAGATTACCCTGATGGGCTGCAGGTTGTCCACCACTAGCCTAATGTAAACTTACTGGCCAGAGAACTTATTTCGGCATGGGACCTCAATGTTATTCTCCTAAAACTTACAGAGTGCACCCTCGCTTTTGAGCCTCTTTCCTACTGTGCTCCATCCACCATCTCTCAAAACAATCTTTTTTGGTGGCCATCACCTTAGCCAGCAGAGTGAGTGAGCTTCAGGCTCGCATGGCTGAACCCCCATACACATTGTTTCGCGCAGTCAATGTGGTACTGGGATCTTAGGAAGATTTGTACCCAAAATGATTTCTGAATTCCAGTTAAGTCAATCCTTTAACTTACCTGTGTTCTTCCCAAAACAACACTCAAGACAAGGGGAGAAGAAACTACACAGTCTGGATGTATCCAGAGCTCTTTGAAATTATATTGACAGGAATAAAATTTTCAAAATGTCCTCTAATCAGTTTTGGTTACAGCTGGTTGTTTCATCGGAAAGTTTGTCAAACTGGATAACACAAAGTGTCTTGATGTGTTGCCAGTTGGCTGGTGTACCTCCCCCACCAAATATCAAGGCTCACTCCATCAGAACTCAAACAACATCTTCTGCCTGCTTCTGAAATGTGCCAATATCAGAAATCTGCAAGACAGCTACAGAGAGCAATTGCCTTATTTGTCAAGCATTATTCCAAATTTGGGAGAGCAGTACTCCAATTTTGATTTGACTGACACAGCTGATACTCCTCATTCATACCATCTGGAGAAGATACTGTTTGCCAGCCACGTACAGTAAGATCCACGCTGGCACACACTCGTAGAAGAAAGAATAGATATTTACCCTACAGAAACTGGTTTCTTGAGATGATGCCATAATCTGCCCTCCTTCCCTGCTTGTCAGAGTCGTCAGCAGCACAGGCTTTGAGTTGCTAGGGAACTGAGGGAGGATTGCACCCAGTCTGCCCTTTATGCCCTCGTGCTTGAGCATAAGGAGGCACAAGGGCATCTGTAGCCCTAACAGTCACTGCTGTTCAGAAAACATTCTGAGCTTGTGTGCAGGAGGGGCATGTGCACTTACAATAGGATCCATACTGACTGCAACATTTCGAAGAATCACAGTTACTGTAGGGTAAGTACCATGGTTACATACTGTAACAGGGCAGTTACCCCGCTCCTAAGAGAGATTCTTTCTTTGTGTGGCAGTAAATAGAGCCACTTTAAGAACATAAGAACAGCCATACTGGGTCAGACCAAAGATCCATCTAGCCCAGCATCCTGTCTTCCGACAGTGGCCAATGCCAGGTGCCCCAGAGGGAATGACGCTATCCCTGCCCATCCTGGCTAATAGCCATTGATGGACCTATCCTCCATGAATGTATCTAGTTCTTTTTTGAGCCCTGTTGTAGTCTTGGCCTTCACAACATCCTCTAGCAAGAGTTCCACAGGTTGACTGTGCGTTGTGTGAAAAAATACTTCCTGTGTTTGTTTTAAACCTCCTGCCTATTAATTTCACTTGGTGGCACCTAGTTCTTGTGTTATGAGAAGGAGTAAATAACACTTCCTTATTTACTTTCTCCACATCAGTCATGATTTTATAGACCTCTATCATATCCCCCCTTAGTCGTCTCTTTTCCAAGCTGAAAAGTCCCAGTCTTATTAATCTCTCCTCATATGGCAGCTGTTCCATACCCCCAATCATTTTTGTTGCCCTTTTCTGAATCTTTTCCTTTTCCCATTCCAATATGTATTTTTTGAGATGGGGTGACCACATCTGCATGCAGTATTCAAGATATGGGCGAACCATGGATTTATATAGAGACAATATGACATTTTCTGTCTTATTATCTATCCCTTTTTTAATGATGCCCAACATTCTGTTTGCTTTTTTGTCTGCTGCTGCATATTGAGTGGATGTTTTCAGAGAATTATCCACGACTCCAAGATCTTGTTCTTGAGTGGTAACAGTTAATTTAGACTCCATCATTTTATATGTGTAGTTGGGATTATGTTTTCCAATGTGCATTACTTTGCATTTATCAACATTGAATTTCATCTGTGATTTTATTGCCCAGTCACCCAGTTTTGAGAAATCCTTTTGTAGCTCTTCGCAGTCTGCGTGGCACGTCACTATCTTGAGTAGTTTTTTATCATCTGCAAATTTTGCCACCTCACTGTTTTACCCCTTTTTCCAGATCATTTATGAATATGTTAAATAGGACTGGGCTCAGTACAGACCCCTGGGGGACACCACTATTTACCTCTCTTCATTCTGAGAATGGACCATTTATTCCTACCCTTTGTTTTCTATCTTTTAACCAGTTACCAATCCATGAGAGAACCTTCCCTCTTATCCCATGATTGCTTACTTTGCTTAAGAGCCTTTGGTGAGGGACATAGAGGGAATCATAGAATATCAGGGTTGGAAGGGACGTCAGGAGGTCATCTAGTCCAACCCCCTGCTCAAAGCAGGACCAATCCCCAATTAAATCATCCCAGCCAGGGCTTTGTCAAGCCTGACCTTAAAAACTTCTAAGGAAGGAGATTCTACCACCTCCCTAGGTAACACATTCCAGTGTTTCACCACCCTCCTAGTGAAAAAGGTTTTCCTAATATCCAACCTAAATCTCCCCCACTGCAACTTGAGACCATTACTCCTTGTCCTGTCCTCTTCTACCACTGAGAATAGTCTAGAACCATCCTCTCTGGAACCACCTCTCAGGTAGTTGAAAGCAGCTATCAAATCCCCCCTCATTCTTCTCTTCTGCAGACTAACAAACCCAGTTCCCTCAGCCTCTCCTCATAAGTCATGTGTTCCAGACCCCTAATCATTTTTGTTGCCCTTCGCTGGACTCTCTCCAATTTATCCACATCCTTCTTGTAGTGTGGGGCCCAAAACTGGACACAGTACTCCAGATGAGGCCTCACCAATGTCGAATAGAGGGGAACGATCACGTCCCTCAATCTGCTGGCAATGCCCCTACATATACATCCCAAAATGCCATTGGCCTTCTTGGCAACAAGGGCACACTGATGACTCATATCCAGCTTCTCGTCCACTGTAACCCCTAGGTCCTTTTCCGCAGAACTGCTGCCTAGCCATTCGGTCCCTAGTCTGTAGCAGTGCATTGGGTTCTTCCGTACTAAGTGCAGGACCCTGCACTTATTCTTATTGAACCTCATCAGATTTCTTTTGGCCCAATCCTCCAATTTGTCTAGGTCCCTCTGTATCCTATCCCTGCCCTCCAGCCTATCTACCACTCCTCCTAGTTTAGTATCATCCGCAAATTTGCTGAGAGTGCAATCCACACCATCCTTCAGATCATTTATGAAGATATTGAACAAAACCAGCCCCAGGACCGACCCCTGGGGCACTCCACTTGACACCGGCTGCCAACTAGACATGGAGCCATTGATTACTACCTGTTGAGCCCGACAGTCTAGCCAACTTTCTACCCACCTTATAGTGCATTCATCCAGCCCATACTTCTTTAACTTGCTGACAAGAATACTGTGGGAGACCGTGTCAAAAGCTTTGCTAAAGTCAAGAAACAATACATCCACTGCTTTCCCTTCATCCACAAAACCAGTAATCCCATCATAGAAGGTGATTAGATTAGTCAGGCATGACCTTCCCTTGGTGAATCCATGCTGACTGTTCCTGATCACTTTCCTCTCATGTAAGTGCTTCGGGATTGATTCTTTGAGGACCTGCTCCATGATTTTTCCAGGGACTGAGGTGAGGCTGACTGGCCTGTAGTTCCCAGGATCCTCCTTCTTCCCTTTTTTAAAGATTGGCACTACATTAGCCTTTTTCCAGTCGTCTGGGACTTCCCCCGTTCGACACGAGTTTTCAAAGATAATGGCCAATGGCTCTGCAATCACAGCCGCGAATTCCTTTAGCACTCTCGGATGCAACTCGTCCGGCCCCATGGACTTGTGCACGTCCAGCTTTTCTAAATAGTCCCTAACCACCTCTTTCTCCACAGAGGGCTGGCCATCTACTCCCCATGCTGTGATGCCCAGCGCAGCAGTCTGGGAGCTGACCTTGTTCGTGAAGACAGAGGCAAAAAAAGCACTGAGTACATTAGCTTTTTCCACATCCTCTGACACTAGGTTGCCTCCCTCATTCAGTAAGGGGCCCACACTTTCCTTGGCTTTCTTCTTGTTGCCAACATACCTGAAGAAACCCTTCTTGTTACTCTTAACATCTCTTGCTAGCTGCAGCTCCAGGTGCGATTTGGCCCTCCTGATTTCCTTCCTACATGCCCGAGCAATATTTTTATACTCTTCCCTGGTCATATGTCCAACCTTCCACTTCTTGTAAACTTCTTTTTTATGTTTAAGATCCGCTAGGATTTCACCATTAAGCCAAGCTGGTCGCCTGCCATTTTTACTATTCTTTCGACACATCGGGATGGTTTGTCCCTGTAACCTCAACAGGGATTCCTTGAAATACAGCCAGCTCTCCTGGACTCCTTTCCCCTTCATGTTAGTCCCCCAGGGGATCCTACCCATCCATTCCCTGAGGGAGTCGAAGTCTGCTTTCTTGAAGTCCAGGGTCCGTATCCTGCTGCTTACCTTTCTTCTCTGTGTCAGGATCCTGAACTCAACCAGCTCATGGTCACTACCTCCCAAATTCCCATCCACTTTTGCTTCCCCCACTAATTCTTCCCGGTTTGTGAGCAGCAGGTCAAGAAATGCTCCCCCCCAGTTGGCTCCTCTAGCACTTGCACCAGGAAATTGTCCCCTACGTTTTCCAGAAACTTCCTGGATTGTCTATGCACCGCTGTATTGCTCTCCCAGCAGATATCAGGAAAATTAAAGTCACCCATGAGAACCAGGGCGTGCGATCTAGTAGCTTCTGCGAGTTGCCGGAAGAAAGCCTCATCCACCTCATCCCCCTGGTCCGGTGGTCTATAGCAGACTCCCACCACTACATCACTCTTGTTGCTCACACTTCTAAACTTAAACCAGAGACACTCAGGTTTTTCTGCAGTTTCGTACCGGAGCTCTGAGCAGTCATACTGCTCCCTTACATACAGTGCTACTCCCCCACCTTTTCAGCCCTGCCTGTCCTTCCTGAACAGTTTATAACCATCCATGATAGTACTCCAGTCATGTGAGTTATCCCACCAAGTCTCTGTTATTCCAATCACGTCATAATTCCTTGACATCACCAGGACCTCCAGTTCTCCCTGCTTGTTTCCAAGGCTTTGTGCATTTGTATATAAGCACTTGAGATAACCTGCTGATCGCCCCTCATTCTCAGTATGAGGCAGGAGCCTTCCCCTCACAGACGTTCCTGCCTCCAAATGTGTCCTTGTCAAAGGCTTTCTGAAAATCTAAGTACACTATATCCATTGGATCCCCCCTTGTCCACATGCTTGTTGACCCCTTAAAAGAATTCTAGTAGATTGGTGAGACATCTTGACTATTCCCCACAAATTATGTTCATCTATGTGTCTGACAATTTTGTTCTTTACTATAGTTTCAACCAGTTTGCCGGCCTCACCTCTGGAGCCACTTTGTTCTTTCCCAGTGAATTGTGGGAGAACTAGTCTGTCCTTCTGAGCACATGGGGGAAATTGTGAAAAGGCACTGGATGAAGTTTTTAAAATGAATTTTTTCCCTTCAGAATTTGTTTGTTATTCAAATATAAGAGAAATTAATATTTAAAGTGATTACTAAGTTGACTAAGTGGTACTGTATGTTCAGAGAGGAATCCTGGTCTCTCATTCTGCAGATTGCAGTGGGTGTAACTGTCCTATGAAGACAGCCCACCTAGTGTTGCAGGCTAGTTTGAAGGGGCATGGGGCTAATCTCCTGATTTATTAGTATTATAATTGCACTTGATTTCTATTTATTACAGCAAAGCACTTCAAATAAAACCATATTTCTAATAAATCTGGAGATCAGTTTCTCTTATTTAACTGTTTTTCTTTTTTAAAGCAATCATGGATCAGTTTTAGACAGCACTGTAAAGATATGCTTAGCATTTATCTAGTGTTCTACAAACATTAATACATTTGGAGTGCTTGTACTACATTTTTTAATTGTTCACATACTTCATACCCCATAGATTAAATCAACATTTACTTCTAGTTGGTGTTGGTATTTTCCTCATCTTCACCACTAAAAGTGAGGGCAAAGATTTCAGATAATCTGTAGATTATGAAAACTAATAAAAAATAGAAAATGAATGACATTAAAAATAAAGATAATGTTCTGGGCAAAAGGGAGTTCAATTTCAACATAGCTTACTGTGCCCTGTTGTGGTCAAGTATGAGAGATTTGATCCTTCATGGTGAATTCTCATGTATTTCCTGGTTTAAATCAAAAACTTCATGTTAATTTAATAGATTTTTTGTAATAATTGTTTAATAATGTGACACATAGTTATAGTCCCAGTTGGCCACAAGGAGGAGGCCTGACACAACCAAATATTAAAGCAGACTCTTCATATTGCATTTGGCAGAATCTTCATGCTTAGTGTAAGGTAGTTGCTTGTAACTTCTTATTGTTTAATTTGTTCAAATTATATTTTGCAGACATGGAGAAAAGAGAACAAGAACTAGAGCAGGTGAGAATGGATTGTGAACACTTCAAAGCCCGTCTGGAAACAGCCCAATCAGATTGCATGAGGGAGAAAAAGGTACATTTGTTCACAAAAAAGTAAGCTATGATCTGTATGCTTGAATTTTAGTAAGAAGTGCAGGGAAATACTAGTTCAGCACTTGAACCGTGCAAGATATAATATCTCTTCAGTATATGGCTTCTGGGTAACCTGGAAAACTGTTGGGCACTGAGTTCATATAACCAAGTAATATGTAAATTGTGCACCTAAAAGTTCTAGCCTTAATACTTTTTGTATGAAAGATTGTTCTAGAACAGAATGATCCATATGATAAAAGTAGTAAAATGAAACATGGCTGCAGAACTAATAATTATTTGAAGCTGAAATCTTAAAGGGAAACAAATTCACACTTCTGTCAGAGTTTATTTACCTCTTGTTATAAATGTCTCTAAAATAACTAATTACGTATTATTCCCAAATAGAGTTGGGGGAAAGCTAAATATGTTTGATAATTGTGTTCAGAGATCTCTCCTTTTTTTCAAACATAAAATTACACCTGAATTGGTATAATAAAGGGATTGTCTCTGTTACATATGTATGTATTGCATAGTCTACATGGGTTAAAAATAATTTGATTTTTTTATATTGTATGTGCCGCGATTGTTATATGTCACAGGATGAATTTAGGACAGTTTAATCCTTAAATATGAATTTCCTTAATTTTTTTTAGATTGTTTGACTCTTTTTGAATCTGGTTTAACACAGCACTGGAAATCTACATAAATGTGCTCTTTGTATCAAGATTGAAAAACACACTGCTTGGGTGTTCGCAAAGCTTGTTGCAAGATCTTTTCAGATAGTTGACATCAAGAGCTGTTTGGAGGAATTAGTCCCTTGAATTTAATATAACATTTCTATAATGTGTCTGTTTCAAAAGGAAAAATACATGGAATATAACACAGGCATTGCTGTGCACAAAATGAAACCTTCTCCCATCTGGGCTGACTTAAGCTTTGTTCATTTTTTGTTTTTAATACAGTATTTCTTTTTGGCCCCTGTTCTCATTTCTCCTGCTGTCATGTCATGTACCACTAGCTGTACCTGAGTAAAACTCTAGATCTAACTATAGTTGCAATACTGCATAGAGACATTGTCAAGCAAAGTGGAATGCTTGACTCCAGAAAGTGACCTAGGGATTGACTACATAGGGAAGATGCTGTACAATAATGTAGGGCGTGAATTTAAAGTGCAGTAGCTATTCCAGAATAGCTCTTGGTGTGGATACTCTTGTTCCACAAAAAGAGTGCCTTTTTCCAGCTTATTTTGATCTGCTTCCAAAGTGGATTAAGCTAAATCAGAAAAAGGCATTCTTACTCCAGAATAAGAATGTCCACAGGGGGAGTAATTGCAGAATACAGTAACTCCTCACTTAATGTCCTCGCGCATCATTTCGTTTCAAAGTTACGTCGCTGCTCAGTTAGGGAACATGCTTGTTTAAAGTTGTGCAGTGCTCCCTTATAACATCGTTTGGCTGCCTGCTCTGTACACTGCATGTAAGATTTTGTGGAAGAGCAGCAACTTTACAAGGGAGCATTGCACAAGTTCCTCTTCTCTGCCTCCTCCCCTTCCCTCCCAGCGCTTCCCCCACTGCCAAACTGTTTGGCGGCGCTTAGGACTTTCTGGGAGGGAGGAGGAGGAGCAGGGAAGCGCTGCATCTCCACTCTTCCCCCTCCGTTCCAGAAAGTCCTAAGCGCTGCCTAACAGGTGTTTGGTGGCGCTTAGGACTTTCTGGGAGCGGGGATGTGGCATGCTCCAGAGAGGAGGTGGAGTGGGGGTGGGAAGAGTTGGGCCTGGAGTGGAGCGGGGACAGGAAGAGGCGGGCTTGGAGCATCCCCCAGCAAAGTCAGCGCCTGTTCTTCTCCAGGTAAGCTGCCACTGCTACTGCAAAGGTGCTTCCTAGCGGCCTTGCCTGCAGTGGGCTGTGCCTGTGTGGGGTAAGCCAGGGGAACTTCCCAATCACAGTACAGTACTGTACAGTATATAATGCCTTTTGTCTGCCCCCTCAAAATTTCCTTGGAACCTAACCCCCCACATTTACATTAAATCTTACGGGAAAATTGGATTTGTTTAACATCGTTTCACTTAAAGTTGCATTTTTCAGGAACATAACTACAACGTTAAGTGAGGAGTTACTGTAGCTTATTCTGCTGTAGCTATTCTGGTCCATTCCTCAGTGGTCGAAGCATCAGATTTGAAATACCTACACATCTTATTGCCACTGACTCAAATCCTGACCTAATGGATTCAACCCTCCACTCTTACAAACTTTATAAACTGAGTGCCATCCTGTTCACTGTGTGTGTTCTCTTTTGGATAAGACCTTAAAATAAATTATGGCACATTTAATAAGAGTAGGAGTTTCCCTGGTGTTCTTGGCCAAAGCTTTCCCTCTCATCTTCATTGTTGTGCAGTATGTGCTGGTTGCCTTCCAGTCAAAAACTATGTGTCTTTCAGTGGTGTGTGTATGTATAGGTTGTGAAAGTCTTTGGGATCCTGATGGATATATGTATCGTATTATAATTGTCTACTTATTTGCATGTCATTATCCAGAATACTCTTTCAGTTGACAGCTATTTAGTAGCAATGGTGGTGGTGTCAGTCTGGGAACAAGTTAAAAGATGTAGTCGTGTTTGTGAATGTACTGAATTGTTTTCTACAGGTTCATCAAGCTATCTGAAAACAGACTGGTGATTCATTGGTATGGATGTAAGAGAAAAACAAATCACCTGGAATTTATGGATAGGTAATCATAGAATCATAGAAATGTGGGGCTGGAAGGAATCTCAAGAAGTCATCAAGTCCAGCCCTCTGTATTGTGGCAGGACCAAGTAAATCTAGACCAGGGTGGCCAAACTTACTGACCCTCTGAGCCACATCCGATAATCTTCAGAAGTTCGAGAGCCGCAAGACATGCACAACCTTTACACATAAATTTTCTAAAATAGTAACATCCTACTTAATGTGTCACGGCTAATTACTGTTCGAGCTACAGGACTTGTGGGTCTCCATCCTGGTCGTAAGTCTTTGGAAAGTGGTTAATATGTTGTCAAGGCAGTACGGAGGAGCTCAATCAGCTGTTGATTAGTAAGGACTGCATGACGTTTCAATTTTACGAACTTCATCATGGAGTACAGCAATTTACAGCAGTATGTTGTACCGAAAATTGAAATGAGCCGCACACTAGTCTTCTTGAGTTGAGGATATTTCATTCCTGGCACTTGCTTCTGGAACTCGATTGTAGACTGTGATTTTTTCATTATCTTTAGAGCTTAGTCCTCCTGAAGTTCCAGTAGTTCCATTTCTACAGCAGATGTTTCTGTAACCACGGTTTTGGGAATTGGAGAGCCATAGTTGATCACATCAACCATGACAGGGTTTACAAGAAAAGCAAAGCAGGATCTCAGCTTCTCCAAGTCTTCAAACCTGGCCTGAAAGTATCAAGCAGTGCTTGTAATTTACCTCTGTATTCCTCATGTTTGTGATCTTCTGCTTCAGTTACAGGGAATATTTTTACCTTACTCTTGAGATGGGGAAAGTGGTTGAAGTCTCTTGACACTATGTCGCTTTGCAGAAGCTTTAACTTGTTCTGGCAGCTGAATACTGTCTGAGTTAGGTCAGAAATAATCTTCCTTCCCTTGGAGTGCCACATTGAGAGTTTGCAGATGCCACATAATATCAGCGAAAAACACCAGATTCTGCATCCATTGCTCATCTTTCAGTTGTGGACAGGACTTTTCCTTTTCTTCAAGGAAAGCACTGAAAGGCTCCAGCAGTTCCATAAACCTATTTAAGACATTGCTGGTTGATAACCACCTCACAATACAGTAGAAAGAGACTCGTTAGGTTTGTCTTCAAGATCCAGCCCTTCAATGAAATTTTTGAACTGTTGATGAGTCTTCCCATTCGAGCAGATGAAATTCACAAATTCTAGGACCGTTTTTGTAATATTTTTGTACTTGAAGTATCTACCTGTGAGATGTTCACAATGGATGATAAAATGAACAGGGAGAAACTCTGGAAATTTGGGATTGCTTTTCAAGAGTCTGATAAGGCCTACTTTTTTCCCCACCATTGCAGGTGCTCCATCCATTGCTACACTGACAAGTTTATCCAGTGGTACATTGGCATTTATAAATGCTTTGTCAAGTGCGTTCTTTATGTCAACACCATGGGTTGTTTCTTTAGCGCCACTAATTCCAACATTCCTTCTTTCACAATTACATCCACAGAAACATAGCAAACAAATACAGCTCGTTGTGGTCTACCTTGTATATCGTGGATTAGTTGACAGGTGGAATGCTACAGAATTCCTTGGATCATTTTGCATCTATGATCTTGCTTGGAACATTAGCACTGATCTGGGAGATCTGCCTCTCCATAGGGTCGTGCGAAATTGGAATTTGCTTTATTCGTTGTTCAGGTTTTGTGTTACTTGGATCTAAAATTGCAACCACTTGGGCAGTATTCTTCTTAACAAATTCTCTATCACAATGGACATTTAGCACAAGCGATATTCCAGGACCTAACAAAACTAGCTATGGTCATTGTGTCAGCTTCCTTACTGAACACAGAAAGTAGTGTCTGTTGACTGTTTAGGCGTGATTTTAGTGCGGTTAGCTTGTTCTTCCTTAATTCTGATTCAGGAGGGTATTTAGATAAAAAGTTACTATGATTAGTTTGTAGCGAGGTTTCAAGTTGCTCACTGTGCAGGTAAGGCACAGGAGTTTGTCACCTTTAACAATGAATGCAAAATTTCCCCCCCCATTCTGACTTAAAACTTCAGTTTTCTTCATACTTGCGTTTCTTACAATTTGAAGATGTCATCATCATCATCCACGAAAGTAATGGAGGGTTAACACTTAGATCTGAAACAATTGAAATCTGACTTACGAACAGTAAACACTGTATGTGTTGTGCAGAATGTGGGAAGAACCCAGGCAAGGAGGTCCACACAGCATTACTTGAAGCAATATTCTGTTATAATGGACATGTGCAGCTGAAACCCCGAGCCTGGGCGCCTCCTGCAGGGCTGGACTCCCACGCACCGGCTCTTACCAGCGGGGCTGCAGACCCGTGCACTGGCTCTGCCTGGTGGGGCTGCAGCCCCAAGCCTTGGCTCCTCCAGTGGTGCTGCAACTCTGAGCTCTGTGAGCCACACTCAAACTCGTAAAGAGCCGCGTGCGGCTTGTGAGGTGCATTTTGGCTATGCCTTATAGTAATTTCGTCTAGACTACATTTCCCTGTTTGCTTATGAAAATGTCATGGGGGATTGTGTCAAAAGCCTTACTAAAATTAAGATATATCACATCTAGAGCTTCCCCCTATTCAGTAGACCAGTAACCCTGTCAAAGAAGGAAATGAGGTTGGTTTGGCATCATTTGTTTTTGACAAATCCGTGTTGGCTGTTCCTTGGATAATCCTGTTCTCCTCCAGATGCGTATCAACTGATCATTTAATAATTTGTTCCAGTATCTTTCCAAGTGTCAGGTTAGGTTGATTGGTCTGTAATTCCCCGGGTCCTCTTTGTTCCCTTTTTTAAAGAAAGGTACCATAGTCTTCTGGGACCTCAGCCTCTCAAAGATAATTGCTAGTGGTTCCGAGATTGCTTCAACTAGTTCCATAAGCACCCTAGGATGAATTTCATCAGGTCCTACTGACTTAATACATCCTGCTTTTCTAAATATTCTTTAACCTGTTTTTTCCCTATTTTGGCTTGCATTCCTTCCTCCTTGTTGATAATAGTAATACTCTTTTCTTGGTCAAGAATGAATAATCATTTTGTATTCCATTGTTTCTTTACAAACCTAGGTAACTGTGACATCCCAGGTATTGAACCCAGGCCCTGGGAATCCCTAGACAGCTGCACCATTCTGACCTCCACCCAATGGCTACTGAAACCTGGTGTGCTGAGAAGCTACTAGGGCTGTAGCCTCAGCCAAGGCACCACCTATGGGAGCTCTGGTTGGAGGATCGCCCACCTCCATCAGGAGGAGGAACAGGAAGTTTGTCTGATAATAAGGTGGTGTCCTTGTGGTTGCAAGGTAGTTGTGGCTGCGTTGCACTCTGCTTGTGCCTGCTTACTGCACCCAACCCTGTTCCTGCTCTGCTCCTGGTTCCTGCCTTATCCCTGCCTTGGCTCCTGTTCCCTCTTTTGCTCCTGCTCCATGCTTGATCCTTGCCTCTCCTTCTGCCTTTGTGCCTCACCTCCAATCCTCAGTGATGAGTCCTGGCTCTGACCCTGTCTCCGGCTTGACCCTTGGCGCTGGCATTTGGCATCTGACCTCAGCTTTGATTACTGGTTCTGACTCTGGCTTGACCTCTGGCTCTAGTAACTGGCAGTTGACTCTGGTGCTGACCTTGGCTTCGTTCCCCAAGCTGGATACCTGCTTTGCCCACTAGACCTGACTCCTGCTCTGATTACTAGGCCAAACTGCCTACATCTCGGTCCCTAACAATAACTTCTTTGGGAAATTAAAACACCCTCTGAACCTGAGCAAAATTGGAAGCATACATCTAATCTTTGGTTCACTACTGTCTTCTTAACTAATCACTTTCTAGTTACGTAGTTTATCGCTGTTGTAGTCATGAAGTTTGACCCTTCTTGGAAGACGTTGCATAGCACAATAAGTAGTCGGTGTGCATGCACCCATAGTAGAATTGCTTCTTGGAGGGTTGTTAGTGTGTTTTTTGCGGGGTCTGTTTATTCCTCTGGTCTTGTAAATATTATTTCTGGTTTTCATTCATTTGCTATGATGATGTTTATGAACACTGTTTGATTTTTTTGCTGTGGCTTTGCATCCTGACAGGCTTATCCAGTTATAACATTACCAAAGTTATGTCTTATTAATCAACATCAGCATTTCCCTTCCTAAGTGTAAAATGCAAACACTGAATAAATGCAATACAGAAAAGAAGAAGGATAGGAAGAAGGTTCAGTGTATTTGAGCAGAAGATTTGCTGCAAGCTGGTGTCAAAGAAGCTGATGGATCTGATGTTGAGTTTAGAGTAAAGAAAGTAAATTCAACAAACTCATTTTTAAGTTAACAAGATTTTAACAACTGGTTTTAATAACCGACTGCTTGTAGTACACACAGAAAAATTTCCAAAAACTATTTATTTACCAACAAGAGAAGTCCCAGATTCTTTGGTATCCGTAATTAGTGTAAGTCTATTGAGTAGACTACAGTAACAGAAGAATATATTGTGGATTGATGCTGTAAATATCAATACATTTCATTTGCAAAACAGTGAATCATATGTTGCATTTCCCACTGACAGTAAATTTAATCAACACAAAGGTGGCTATAAGATGTGATGTAGGCAGCTAGATGTGGACATAGGAAAATATCAACAAAGTAGATTTTTAGATGACCAATTATGTGACCTGAGAGATCTAATTAAAGTAATCACTTCTAACAATAACGTATGAATCTGCAAAGCATTGTGGATGGATGTTATAGCATCCATGGATGTTATAGCATCCTTCCATGTTATAGCATCTTATCTTTAGGTGAACTTTAACTGTTTCGGTATTTTCAACCCCACAACTTCAAAAATTGAGACAGCCCCCCAAAATTGAGATCCTTAGCTTTGAAATCCTGAGGGTGGTGTTTTTTTGTTTTTTGTTTTTAAATCATATGTTTGGCTCTGTTTTTTTTCTATACTCAAAACTTGTTAAGAAAACATACTCCCCCTCCCCCAGCCCTTATATGCGTGCTGGTGTCAGGATGCGAAACACACAGGGCACCCACACAAATAGGATGCTTCCTTCTGACATGGACTGTGCTTTCCCCCTTTTTTACTCTTCAGTTGGTATCCTTTTCTTTACTGGTCCCTACTCCCTCTGCCCAAGGCACTCTCCAAGAGGTGTGGTACAGCCCCCACCTCCATCTCCCTGTTCCCAGTTCCTGGCACCCCAGTCCTGATGTCACTTCCCCAGCCTGTCTAGCACTGCACACGTTGGGATAGTCTGAGTGGCCCAGAAGCCCATACCCGTCACTCCTCATCAGACTCCAGCAGTGCCCCTCCAACTCCCATCCTATACTCCTAGCAGTGCCCTAGCTCCCTCCTCCCTTTTAGGCTTCAGCAAGTGCCCCCCATCCCAGCCTGCAGGAAAAGCTCCTATTCTGGGAGTAGGGCTGTCCTGCAGGGATCCCCCCATCTAAATTAACTTTGCTACCCCAGTGTAGTGGTAATGGGGGATGTGAGACGGTTGCTCCCTATTTCAGAGGGAGAGGTCTTCTCTGGGTATGTCTACACTACAATTAAAAACCCGCGGCTGGCCCGTGCTAGCTGACTCTGGCCAAGGGCTGTTTAAGTGTGGTGTAGATGTTGGGCTTGGGCAGCCTGAGCTCTGGGACCCTCCAACCTCACAGGGTCCTAGAGCCTGGGCTCCAACTTGAGCCTGAACATCTGTACCACAATTAAACAGCCCCTTAGCCCAAGCCCGAATCATCTGTATAATTGCAGTGCAGACATTCCCCTCAGTGTTGCATATGTTCTGTTCCCCATTGAGTGGCCAGGTGTGCTCAGGAATTGCCTGCAGCAGCTGTTCTGCTGTCTGTACCACAGGCTGCTAAAGCAAAAGCTGCAGGCTGCAAGTATGAAATCCTGAGGTGCATATGGCTGTTTATTTACAAGCAGCTGCAAAAACTGCCCCCAAATCACAATGCTCAGAGTATCTTCACAAGTGTTAGTAGCTCTGCTCTCTCTTTCCTTGAACCATTGTTCATTATTTAGTGTGATTTTTGGTAGGTTTATATTTAATCTATTTTAGGCATCAATTTGGAAGTATTTTTTAGGATATTGATACCTCTTGGTTTTCTTTGTGGTCTGCTCATGACTTACTTCTTTCTTGTCTGGTCAGGCAATTCTGTCTGATGAGGAAGTAAGGATTAATTTAAGACTGAATGCGACCTGGTAGTATCTTCAGTTCATGTCCCTCTTTCTGCCAACCTTCCATATGGCTGTGAGAAACATTTACCGCTCCAAAATACTTCCAGGTCTTGTTGAATTTACCAATCAAGTGCTGTGTTCTCTGTGCTGATCTATGGCGGAGTGAGCCAAGCACAAAACCAGTTCACCCAGCACTGAAGCAGACAGACCTGGGATGGGACTGCTGCTCCTACACCATGGATGACAGATCTTTGGAGCCCAGTGATCTGTGGTCCTAAGTTTGAAGGCCATCCCAAACATCGGGCCTAGAGCTTACTGCTCCAGGGATCCTGTCTTCCCTGACATGCAGTGGCAGATTAAGTATAGCCTCTAGCTTCTCTGAGATAGGCCACAATTTTTTTCTGGAGCATTTATTCTAGCTCACAAACAACTTTATCTCACATGGCTGAGATACTTAGCAGTTTTTCACAGGACTGCTACCCTAAGTCTTTGCAATTCTTTGTGTAGTAGGAGCTAATTCTACTTTAACTTGAACCACTGAGGCTATTGTAGCTGTCATTGTTCAACTCTAGCACTGCTCCATAAATTGCAGGTGGCAGACTCCTAACTCCTGTTGACTTCCCCAGCACACAGCATGGTTACTCAGACTGCTCTGGAGAGAGAATTTAGCTCTGTGGAAGTACTGTGAATTGCCGCATTTTATATATATATGGCCGTAATATTGTCTCCCTTTCTCTGTCTTGTGGTAGAAACGTAGCTGGGATACTTTGAAACCAGATGAAATGCCCTTCAGTATTAATCTCCCAAAATTTACATAAATTAATTTCAGGAGAAATTAGCCCTTCGACAGCAGCTGAATGAGGCAAGACAGCAACTACTGCAACAGGCAGAATATTGTACAGAAATGGGAGCTGCAGTCTGTACTTTGTTATGGGGTGTCTCTAGCAATGAGGAAGCAGTTAAAAACATTCTAGGAGGGGTGAGTACTGCAGATGTATACATTTTAGTGGGAATGTTTAAGTATTATATTATAGATAGGTAACATGCTTTAAATAACATATCTTAACACGTAGGTGTATTTCAGTAATTGAACATATAGCAAAATAAGTCTCTGAATTGTTTATTCTTTTTGGTCTCCAATTTTTATAGTCTATAAATAGGTTAATGTAGAGCAAGCAGGGAACAAACAGTAATTTAATATTTGATGTTACAAGGCACAGATAAGAGGGACATTTTCTTTTCTCATCCGCTATCATCAGACTGAAAATGCAGATTACTGCCATCACAGTGTAAATAATTTTGTAAACCCACCACCAGAGGAAAAAAATCCCTGACATTACTTCAGCAATTCCCTTGCCCACTTATTCTCCAAAGTACGTACCTACCAACCAGTCCTCCCCACCGCAGTGCTCATCAGAAAATACACACAGTCTACCTCTCATGCCGTGAAACAAAGGAATTATGGGATGTTTCTTCCTCTGTTCTAGCCCACAAAATTAAAAGTGATAGTTTTACAACCAATTTAAAATGGAGAAGAGTGATAGAGTACTATGACCGACTAAGATCCAAACCCCTGCTGTTGTGGTGAAGGAAGTGTGTGTTTGGAACTACTTAGCCATACTAACATATTTCATTCAAAACATCAATTATGTCACTTTCTAAGAGGAATATTCCATGGATCATGATTTTAAAATAGCTGCACTTCTTGCGCATTGATAGTAATAGGCACGTAGGATGTGTGGTTGGTTTATGTGAAATATACAAATGTACTGTCAGTGCACCGCGTTAGTCATTATACTGAGGAGGAATTGGCTACTTATTTATCAGTGTCCAGGAATCGTTTGTGTAAAAAAAAAAAAAAAAAAAAAAAATTTAAAAGCGTGCCAAGTGTAAATGGATGCAACTGCTCTGCAATTCTCTGGGTGACAAATTGAAATACTGTATACTCCCAATTTTCCCAAACCTTATCATCTGAACTTCTGCATTATCCAAATCCCTTCCTTGTTCCCTGGGATTTGGATAATGGAAAGGTTCGGACAATAGAGCAGAAATTTCCAGCCATGGGAGAGGTAACCCTGCTGGTGAATGGCTCCTGGGGCAGTGCAGGGAGCCCTCCAGAGCCCTGCTGTCACAGGAGCGAGTGAGCAGGGCCATGACAGCACAGCTTCAGAGGGCTCCCTGCACTGCCCTATGGCTGGTGACACCCAGTCCCTGCAGATGCAAGGTGCAAGGAATGCTGCAGTCCTGGTGGGTCAGAGTAGAGTCCTGGTCTGCTCTGCCCAAACAGTACAGTCTCCTCCCCAGCACCTTGCAGAGGGTTTCTTGCAGTATCACTCCTGTCCTCTTGATTATCCAAACTCCTGATTATCTGAACAAAATTCATGTCCACCATGCTATTCAGATAATTGGGAGCATACCATAGAAGATACATTTTAGGTATAAATTGATCTTAATTTGTCATTCAGTGGGTGTGCAAATGAGTATAACTTACACAGCTTTATCTTACACTCTGTTATCAGTTGCTGTTTCTGCAATACTGCTTCTGTCCCTAGACATATTTAAGTTGCTCACTTTACTATCACACTGAATGCCACTTAGATGAGCCCAAGTTGCACTACTTTACCATTTATGTAACTCCGCATTTAACAACTTCTGCCATTTATGTAACTGCTGAATTTGGCAGCTGAGTTCTAGTCACTGAAGGATGTCTCTCAGAAGGGAGGAGTTCTGCAAGAGACAGTAAATTATAGCATGTAAAGAAATATGACATGTACAGTGGGTAGAGGTAACACCTGTATCCTATCCTGTGTTCCTTTCAGTATTACTTAGTGCAACCTGTAAAAGTGATTGTTTTCCCTCCGCACTTGCAGAGCAAAGCAGTAAAGTTTTTCACAATTACGGGACAAACTATGGAGAGCTTTGTGAGGTCATTAGGTGAAGATACCAAACACCAAGATCTGGATTCTGATGAAAATCAGTTTGTATTAGCTTTGGCAGGCATTGTGACAAGTAAGTCAATTTTGTATGTCAGGACTATATTCCACATGTACTGTAAGGAGCATATATTGCTGTAAATGTGTGATGATGTATATCTAGCTGTTTGACTAAATAACTGATTTTTTAAAATGTTGGTATCATGTATGAATCACCATTCTCTTCAAGTTCTAGAAAACTTCATTGTCTTCTAGCTGTGTTGGTTCTGCCATGCTAAGAAGAGTAAAACATGATAAAACTTACTTAGTTATTTAAGTTGGTAAATAAGATTCTGAATTCATCCTGGGAGTAGATCTGTTGAAAAGAAAACTCTGCCGTTTAGATTCTCTCTCACTGTAATCTCACTTTGAAATCAGAAGTTTAGACAAGGCTTTCACGTTTAATATAATATTAGTAGAAGACATAAGCTAATTATCTCAACTTCCAGGAGGAATATATGCTTCACAAATGGCTATTAAGGAAGCCTGATATCCTAGGGTGAGAAGTAAAAGATAAGGAAGCCAAAGAACTAACTGTTTGCTCTAGGCATGGAAAAAATGTTAAAAACTGTGTGCCCCTGGAATCAACATTGTTGAAGAGGGCCAAACTATTGAGATGGAAGCATTTGGTGAAGACACAAAATTATTTAGGTTAGTCAAAACTAGAGCATTGTGAAGAACTACAGAAAGTCCTAATAAAACTAGGATAACTGGCCAAAATTATGGCAGATGAAATTCAACATTGGCAAGTGCAAGATCTTCAAAATAAGAACAACAACATAAATTATTCATACACAGTAGTGGGTTCTGAATTTAATAACCTGTTTTTGGAGTGGGATGGTGGTGATCTAGGTGTCATTGTGGCTAGTTCATTAAGATGTCTAGTAAATGTGAGTAAGATGAAAAACTGTTTTAAGAATAATATAGAAAACATTATGCCCTTCCACAAATTAAAGGTGTAATTTGATTCTGCCTCAGATCACTTCATTTATAAAAGCATAACAGAAATAAAGGTCCAGAGAGTGACAATGACAATGTTTAGAGGTTTGTGGAATGAGGAAGGCTTCAGTGGGAGGAAAAAATAAAAAGAATATTGCCAGTGACTTCAGTGCTGCCAAGATTTCACCTCATATGTCTATTTAATTTGGAAAGGAGAATGTTTAAGGACAAATATGGTAAAGGATACACTGTAATGAATGATTGAACCTTAATCCTGGTTTTGCAACCTTAATATTTTTAAGGTAGGTTTTTTGGATATAATTTCTTAATTAAAAAATGAAAAAAAAAATCAGAATTTCCATCATGTGTAACCAGATTGGCCTGCAATTTGGGTCTTCTAGATTAGATTAGGTCTGCTCTAAATTGGGAGATTCTCTTCTCCTTGCCTCCCAACATGAGGGCATTCAATAAAATTGAAATGTAGCAAATTAAAAACTGATTAAAGGAAATACTTTTTAATTCAACATGTAATTAGACTGTGAAACTTATTGCCACTGGCTGCTGTTGAGGCCAACAATTTAGTAAGATTGAAAGAGGGACTGAATATTTATATAGCTAAGAAGATTATCCAGAGTTGTTATAAGAAAAGGAGTACTTGTGGCACCATAGAGACCAAAAAATTTATTTGAGCATAAGCTTTTGTGAGCTACAGCTTACTTCATTGGATGCATGCAGTGGAAAATACAGTGGAGAGATTTTATATACACAGAGAACATGAAACAATGGGTGTTACAGTAGTTATAGTTACTGCAAAAAAGAGTTGTGGAAGGGAGACAATATTTTATGCTTCAGGGTTTAAACCAGTTTTTATCCATTAGGGATTAGAGTGAGATCTTCATGGGGTGAAGATCATTCTATATTTGCCTGCTGTAGGGTTTCTTGCACCTTCCTCTGACTCTTCTGGTGCAGGCCATTGTTGGAGACAGGATACTGAACTAGATGTATAAGTCTGAGCTAGTATGGGAATTCCTATGTTTCTGTGTCTTTTAAGGTACATTTTTATGACATATGTTGTTACTTCAACTGGTGTTCTCTGTCTTTAATGGGTTCGTTGGGTTCAGCAGCCGAAGTGTATTCATGCGAGAGCGATTGTCAAGGTTCCTCCCCCACTCTGAACTCTAGGGTACAGATGTGGGGACCTGCATGAAAAACCTCCTAAGCTTATCTTTACCAGCTTAGGTCAAAACTTCCCCAAGGTACAAAATATTCCACCCGTTGTCCTTGGACTGGCCGCTACCACCACCAAACTAATACTGGTTACTGGGAAAGAGCTGTTTGGACGCGTCTTTCCCCCCAAAATACTTCCCAAAACCTTGCACCCCACTTCCTGGACAAGGTTTGGTATTGTAGTTGTAAGAAAGCTTGACAGAGATCTTGTCCTATACCTATTCCTACCTGCATGCCTCCAGCTTTCACCCTGACCACACCACACGATCCATCGTCTACAGCCAAGCTCTGCGATACAACCGCATTTGCTCCAACCCCTCAGACAGAGACAAACACCTACAAGATCTCTGTCAAGCTTTCTTACAACTACAATACCCACCTGCAGAAGTAAAGAAACAGGATTGATAGAGCCAGAAGAGTTCCCAGAAGTTACCTACTACAGGACAGGCCTAACAAAGAAAATAACAGAACGCCACTAGCGGTCACCTTCAGCCCCCAACTAAAACCCCTCCAATGCATTATTAAGGATCTACAACCTATCCTAAAGGATGACCCAACACTCTCACAAGTCTTGGGAGACAGGCCAGTCCTTGCCTACAGACAGCCCCGCAACCTGAAGCAAATACTCACCAACAACCACATACCACACAACAGAACCACTAACCCAGGAACTTATCCTTGCAACAAAGCCCGTTGCCAATTGTGCCCACATATCTATTCAGGGGACACCATCACAGGGCCTAACAACATCAGCCACACCATCAGAGGCTCGTTCACCTGCACATCCACCAATGTGATATATGCCATCATGTGCCAGCAATGCCCCTCTGCCATGTACATTGGTCAAACTGGACAGTCTCTACGTAAAAGAATAAATGGACACAAATCAGATGTCAAGAATTATAACATTCATAAACCAGTCGGAGAACACTTCAATCTCTCTGGTCACGCAATCACAGACATGAAGGTCGCTATCTTAAAACAAAAAAACTTCAAATCCAGACTCCAGCGAGAAACTGCTGAATTGGAATTCATTTGCAAATTGGATACTATTAATTTAGGCTTAAATAGAGACTGGGAGTGGCTAAGTCATTATGCAAGGTAGCCTGTTTCCTCTTGTTTTTTCCTACTCCCACCCCCGCCCGATGTTCTGGTTTAACTTGGATTTAAACTTGGAGAGTGGTCAGTTTAGATGAGCTATTACCAGCAGGAGAGTGAGTTTGTGTGTGTATGGGGGTGGGGGGGATGTGAGAAAACCTGGATCTATGCAGGAAATAGCCCGACTTGATTATGTAAAGAGTTGTCACTTTGGATGGGCTAGCACCAGCAGGAGAGTGAATTTGTGTGGGGGGGTGGAGGGTGAGAAAACCTGGATTTGTGCTGGAAATGGCCCACCTGTTGATCACTTTAGATAAGCTATTACCAGCAGGACAGTGGGGTGGGAGGAGGTATTGTTTCATATTCTCTGTGTGTATATAAAGTCTGCTGCAGTTTCCACGGTATACATCTGATGAAGTGAGCTGTAGCTCACGAAAGCTCATGCTCAAATAAATTGGTTAGTCTCTAAGGTGCCACAAGTACTCCTCTTCTTTTTGCGAATACAGACTAACACGGCTGTTCCTCTAAAACAGCACATACAATGATACTCATACTTTCTGACATTTGTCTTTTTTTTTTTCCATGTAACACTTCATCACCTGAATGTATAAAAATGTCAAGTGGCCATCTGTGATTTTGTATCAAGATTTTAGATATAAAATTGTCTCTTGAAATTGGTTCAGAGTGGATGATGTAGTAAGTTTGTTAATTATTTTTAATGCTGCTTTCTCCTTTAGAACAAATAAAGAAGAAAAAAAAAAATTTCATGGTGATTTTTATAAAAATAATTATTAAGCAGGAGAGAAAAAAGAAAACAAGACCAATGTGGAGTTTCAGAAACAGTAAACCAGTCCAGCAGTGATTTACTCTTCCAAATAACCTAAACCATCAGTTGATTGGCACTCTCAGTTGTGAGCAATGATTTTGCAATCTCAGGTCAGACTGTCAGAAAACAGGGCAGACCCCCCAAACTGGTGGTATATTGTATAATTAGATTTCACCACACCAGTAGCACGTGTGCACTCCTGGATCACTATATTAGTCTTACCATGGAGTCACAAACAGTCCCCTTCGGCTCTCCAGCACATCTTGCTGCCCAGACAAACTAGACGTTGTGATGAAAGGTTATTAAAACCACAAATCACCTCACATTCGTACTCCCAATTCCAAAGGATCGGTCACTTTTCCCTAGTCAATGGATACTCTCAATCTTACACCAAAAACAACACTGACGCCCAGTTTCTTAAGTAATCTAACTAAAGGTTTATTAGCTAAGAAAAATAAATGAGTTACTGAGAAGTTAAAGCAGGTAAAACACATTAACAGGTGAGTCCAAGTATTACATCCAAATTGATAGCAGAGATGTAGTAATCTGCTAGTTTTCCCTAAGTCTCTCAGGGTTTATTAAAATGATTCTGGGGATCTCTGTCTACTTGCTCAGTATTCAACCCTGTTAGAATCCAAACAGTTCAGAGATTCAGGATCATTCCCTGGATCCATTCTTAGAATATCAGGGTTGGAAGGGATCTCAGGAGGTCACCTAGTCCAACCCCCTGCTCAGAGCAGGACCGATCCCTGACTAAATCATCCCAGCCAGGGCTGTGTCAAGCCTGACCTTAAAAACTTCTAGGGAAGGAGATTCCACCACCTCCCTAGGTAACACATTCCAGTGTTTCACCACCCTCCTAGTGAAAAAGTTTTTCCTAATATCCAACCTAAACCTCCCCCACTGCAACTTGAGACCATTACTCCTTGTTCTGTCATCTGCTACCACTGAGAACAGTCTAGAGCCATCCTCTTTGGAACCCCCTTTCAGGTAGTTGAAAGCAGCTATCAAATCCCCCCTCAGTCTTCTCTTCTGAAGACTTAAACATCCCCAGTTCCCTCAGCCTCTCCTCATAACTCATGTGTTCCAGTCCCCTAATAATTTTTGTTGCCCTCCGCTGGACTCTTCCCAATTTTTCCACATCCTTCTTGTAGTGTGGGACACAAAACTGGACACAGTACTCCAGATGAGGCCTCACCAATGCCAAATAGAGGGGAATGATCACGTCCCTCAATCTGCTGGCATTGCCCCTACTTATACATCCCAAAATGCCATTGGCCTTCTTGGCAACAAGGGCACACTGTTGGCTCATATCCAGCTTCTCGTCCACTGTAACCCCTAGGTCCTTTTCTGCAGAACTGCTGCCGAGCCATTCGGTCCCTAGTCTGTAGCGGTGCATTGGATTCTTCCGTCCTAAGTGCAGGACTCTGCGCTTGTCCTTGTTGAACCTCATCAGATTTCTTTTGGCCCAATCCTCCAATTTGTCTAGGTCCCTCTGTATCCTATCCCTACCCTCCAGCGCATCTACCACTCCTCCCAGTTTAGTGTCATCTGCAAACTTGCTGAGGGTGCAATCCACACCATCCTCCAGATCATTTATGAAGATATTGAACAAAACCGCTGTCTTACAGCTGTCTTCCCCGGAAAGCAGTTTGGCAAATGTTTCCATTATAGCAGTGGTTCCCAAACTTGTTCCGCCGTTTGTGCAGGGAAAGCCCCTGCCAGGCCGGTTTGTTTACACTACCGCGTCTGCAGGTTTGGCCGATCGCGGCTCCCAGTGGCCGCAGTTTGCTGCTCCAGGCCAATGGGAGCTGCTGGAAGCGGCGTGGGCCAAGGGACGTACTGGCCTCTGCTTCCAGCAGCTCCCATTGGCCTGGAGCAGCAAACCGTGGCCAGTGGGAGCTGCTATCGGCCGAACCTGCAGATGCGGCAGGTAAACAAACCGGCCTGGCCCGGCAGGGGCTTTTCCTGCACAAGCGGCGGAACAAGTTTGGGAACCACTGCATTACAGAATGGGCTTTTCCTCTGTTGACTAAACGCAGACTGGGTCCGTGGATTTCCCATTGTCGAACACAATGACCCATGCTTTGAAGTTAGCATGCTTCATTTATAGTTTCAAGTCTCCAATTCCATTTGATGGTCAATCCAATTACAGAGATATACACAATGCATTTAGTTACAGCAATCCAAACAGTCTTTCATTAGTTTTCATGAAGTTTATACATAAATTAAATTCTCACTAACATACACTTTTGATCTAGGGTTAATTAAGTACCGGGTATACGTAATGTAATGCGATAGTACAGATTATAGGGAAGTGAAGACAATAACATTAACATATCTTTGATATTCAAATACAAGTGAATTGGCCTATGGTTTTGATTTAAGCTGGTCTCTCAGCATCACACTGAAGTGCTCTGTCAGTGTCACAGTCATTACTTAAAAGAACCCTGCAAATGTTAAAAAAACAGCAGTAAAAAGAGCAAATAGGAAAAAAAAATGCCTAACACCACCTGCCAGATTTTCTGACAGTAAATCCATTCCAGACAAGGGTTGTAATTTCTAAAACGTCACGTTTTTGCACTTTTATTTCTCTTTCTTTCCTCCTGTTGGTGAATATATATTCTCCCTTTTTTAACCATTTTGTGATTGATAATAAAGGAAGACTGCATGTATATATTCTCATAGTTTTGTCATGTTAATGTAAGAATTACAATATATTTTCTCTTTAAGGGTTCAGTGTGTCAGAATACAATGCAATGGGCCTGATCCTCACCTCACTTACTCCAGTTTTAATACCTGCCATGGCTCTGTAGGTTTCAGTCAAGTTAATCCTGATTTACATCTGTCTGAGGAGAGTCAGGCTCATTTTTTTTAAATGCAAGCTGCTGTAATGTTGTTTTATTCCTCACTGCTTAACATTTGAACTTGTTTTGCTTCCTACAGTCCAATACATTTATTCAAGGGCAAACTGTATCCTTAGCAGAGTAATAGTCTTTCTGCATTTTTTTGCTTATTGTGTTGTCCACTGCATAAGGAAGCACTCCTACAAGAGCAGGGAAGATCTTGTAAGTTGACCTCTGTTGCTGTTTTAGATGTATACTCTAGCCAGGAACGTAGGGGGAACAAATATAAAATAATCTACATCAGTGGTGGGCAACTTGAAGCCCACGGGCTGCATGCAGCCCATCAGGGTAATCTGATTGCAGTCTGCGAGACATTTTGCGGATGTTGAGTATCTGCAGGCACAGACCCCCGCAGCACCCAGTGGCTGTGGTTCACTGTTCCCGGCCAATGGGAGCTGCAGGAAGCAGCGGGCCATAGGGATGTGCTGGCTGCCACTTCCTGCAGCTCCCATTCACCGGGAATGGCAGACCGCAGCCACTGGGAGCTGCAGGGGGGCTGTGCCTGCGGATGTTGAGCGTCTGCAAAATGTTTCGCAGCCCACAATCAGCTTCCCCTGATGGGCCGCAGATTGCCCACCACTGATTTACATCTTCCTTCTTTTAGAACTGAGACTATTAGGGTCAACTTTGCATTATTTCCACAATAGTTCTAGATGCTGACAGTTCAGAGCGTCTTGAATCATACCTGTTCCATAAACTCATTGCATTGCAAATTTTGCTGCTGAGCCACCCTGAATACATATTTTAATTAACAATGTATAATTATAAGCAGATTTTTGACGGCTAGGTATTGTTTGCTGCTTCGGTAGCATCTGATACAGTTCCGTTTTTGCTGTGTCGCTACATTTAGGGAAAGGGTTAGAGATGTCCTAGCCCAGTCTTCACAGTCCCTACAGGTAGTTAATCTTAGATTGTATTCGAGATGAACTCATTTTCCTGGCTTTTTTTTGGAATGTGATTTTTATTATTTTATTTTGTGTTCTGTTGTAGATGTTGCTGCATTGGCGTGTGGCCGTGAATTCCTGGTTAATTCAAGTCAGGTGGTGTTGGACACAATGATGCAGCTTCTGGGAGACATGAAGCCAGGACTCTGTACCAAACTGAAAGTGTATGAAGGCCAGATATTTTTTAAATGAAGCATGTTATCTTACAATGTGGACCGTTATTACTGAAGCTCTTTACCCAATGATCCTGTCAAGGAACTGTCCTCATCAGAGCACCCCCTTTGGATACTACTTGGAAAGTAGCATTCATACAGATCCAGTCCTTTTAGCAGGAGCATTTGGTGACAGTCTAGCGGTGGTGGGCTCTCCGCTCTTGTTTTGGCTATATCTCCCCTTTTCCAGAGTCACAGGTGAAACAAAACAATCCAAAGGTGACAAAAGGGAAAAATAAAAAGGAAAACCTCTAGGTCTCCAGTACAGGTTATCTGATATAGTCCCTTCCCGCTTTTGGCACACGAGATCTGTGTTCCCTTTTTGTGAGGACAGAGACTCTGCTGGCTATCAGGCTTCTTCCTGGAGTTGGGACGCTTAACTGTGCTCTCCTTCAGGGCTGCCCACTACTGAGTGGAGCTTTCCCCTTTCAGACTCCTCTGTTTCTGGCATGATTTGCAGGTGTGGTGTGATGAGGCTTCTCCAGCCCAAAGCAGCGCCTTAGCCTCCATACTGGGGTAGAGTTTACGTACCCTCCCTCTCAAGACAGGGCCAGGGTTGCCATCCCCTGTGCTGGAATTGCTGTCGTCTTGTGAAAAAAAGTCAGCATTTTGATGTAGCTTCCAGGTACTCAACTGACCTGGTAAGGCATAGGGTTGTAGCGGATTATCCTTGGATTGGTGTCTTTCATGGTGTTCAGCCGCCTAAGTGGAGTGTGGTCTGTGATTTTTTAAAAAAAGGATTTCCCAGCAGTTAGCATCCACTGAATCCACAGCCCATTTTGCTGCCAGTGCTTCCTTCTTGATCACGGAGTATATGTTCTCTCTGGGGAACAACTTTTGGCTGATGTACAATATCAGAGGTCCTTCCCCCTCAGTTTTTTGCAAAAGGATCAACGTTAGTCCTATATGTGAGGCATTTATTTGCAGAATAAATCTCTATGAAAAGTGTGGATTAAAAAGGACTGGCTCCTTACATAAATGCTCCTTCGGTGTCCTAAATGCCTTATCACAGGCTTTTCAACCACTGGACTCTTTCTGGGCATCTGTCCTTTATGAGATCTGTGAGGAGGGTCACAGTAGTGGGGAATCCCAGCACAAAACATCGATAACAGCCTACAGCTCACAAGAAGTGCCATAATTGGTTGGGCTTTTTTGTCGTGGGAACAGGACAATCCATCAAGGCTTGGACCTTGTTCAGTAGGGGTTGTAGTTGGCTTTCTGTCACAGTGTAGCCTAAGTACGTGACATTGCAGTTCCCTGCCTTACTGCATCTGTGAGGAACTGGAGTGCTGCTGTGACAGTTCTTAAGCGACTGTCCCAGTCCTGGCAGGAGAGAACTGTATCATCTAAGTAGGCCGCTGCATACTGCCTATGCAGCGAAAAGATTCGGTCCGTTAGCTTCTGGAAAGTTTTGGCTGCCTCAGAGTGACCAAAAACATTTCTTGGACTTGATATAGAACAGTGGTGTGGTGCAGGTTGCCCATCACTGATATAGACCAAAGGATGCGGAAAAAGCTGTTTTCCCCCCAGTTTCTGGCATCAAAGTTATTTTCCAGTACCCTTTCATGAGCTCTAAAGTGGATATATATCTGGCAGTTCTCAGCCATTGTAATAGTTCATCCACTGTTGGCATTGGCTGTGCATTGAATTTTGAAACCACATTGACCTTTCGAAAATCAGTGCAGAAACATGTCATGCCATCAGGTTTTGGCACTAGCACAATACTCCTCCATTCACAGAGTGATTCTTTTACTACTGTATACCTCCTTTGGATACTACTTGGAAAGTAGCAGTCACACAAATCCAGACCTTTTAGCAGGAACGTTCAGTGACAGTCTAGTGGAGGTGGGCTCTCAGCCCTTCTGGCAATTTCTCCCCTTTTCAGAGTCACAGGTGAAACAAAAAATCCGAAGGTAGCAAAAGACGTTAAAGAAAGGGGCAAAGAAAAAAAGAAAACATAGGTAGTTCTGACCAGGATATTGACCTCTTTCTTCAGAGAGGCCCTGGATGGGTTATGGTCCACCTTAGAGTCCTCTGAGTCTCCAGAACAAGTTATAGGATGAGTTTCTTCCTCCTTTTAGCACAGGAGATCTGTGTTTCCTTTTTGTGAGGGCAGAGGTTGCACTAGACATCAGGCCTTCCTGGGAGCTGGGAAGCATAGCACCCTGTATCCTTCCAGGGCTGTCCACTATTGAATGGAACTTCCTCCTTTGAGGCTTCTTGCAGGTGTTGCAGGATGGGGCTACTCCAGCCCCAAGCAGCTCCCTAACTCCTTCCATGCTGGTGTGGGGTTTACACACCCCATCACAAATTCATTCATTATTTACTTTACTGGAGAGGAAATATGTCCATTGGAAATAATATTCACAGCATCCATTCCTCATAAATATGCGAGATGTGGTTGCAAGGCTGGTGACTGCATACCAATTCTCCTAAACCAATATTGCAGGCACATCAGTGTCTGTGCAAGGTCTATCAAGCACCAGAATAATAGGTAATGTGGAGATGTGCCCATCCCTGCCTTGGTAAGAGGTAGGGTTGCTGGAATGAATGGTATTTAAGGGAGGCTCAAGTATTAAAGTAGGGAAAAGAACTGAGAGAAATGTAGGACTCACCCTGTATCACCGTCCAAAATGAAAAATAATCTGTTAAAATACTATGCTTGGTTAGTTAAATAAGTAGTTTACATATGTACCAAAAGTGCATTTGTCTTAGGCCAGCAAAGTGTAAATGACCTCCTGCCACCTTATTACTCACAAGCTGCTATCATCAACATTGGTAAAGGGATGTCTGTAAAGAAGCCCTGTGAGACAAATGATCCTATGAAATATTGTAAAGAAAGGACCATGATACATAATCCAAAAACGGAAAAAGTCAGACTTTCCAGTAAATGAAGAAATAAAACATTAACATTCTTTGCCATTTTCTCAGCAATATTACTAATTAATTGAAACAAGTTGTACCTGGGAGGTATGAAATTCAGCTTGTCTTAGACATATGTATATGGCGCTTGGACACTACAGGGATTGGGAACCTTAATATGGTGCTTGTGTAGATAAATATTTTTGATTGATTCATGTGTGCAGTATTTTATTTTAGTAGATATTTGAATGTTGATCTGTGAAAAAGCATAAACATTGAATAACCATGTTGCTAATGATTTGGTGTTTTATGTATATCATTACAGAGTCTCTTAGCATTATTTAATGTCTATCATGCTGTTTCCCAAGCGTAGGGTTTAGAAGTCAGCATTCAAAATAGGATAGCCAACTTTCATATTGTGGTATTTTTCAGAAAGCCCCGATTTCTGGCGTTATATGATTACATGAGAATTACAACTTTCATTTTTTTAAAATGCAAGTTTCTAGGCCTCATGATTGCAGAGAAAAGTTTGAAAATGTGACCTCTAAGGGCTCAAAATCCATAAGGCAAATAAAAAGAGCCCAGACTTCTACAAATCCCTTGATCGTTAAGCCAATCTTAAGAGTTTTGCGCGGCTGGCTCTTGATTTTTGAACACTTGGCAATATTGTAATCATGCAGTGTTTGAGGGGCTTCTTTTTGGAAATAAGTTTAAAAAATAAGTTCTTTATTGTAAAAACAACTAAAGCTGATTGCAAAACAGTTTCTCATGGTAGTGTAATCTCCAGCTACCTTGCAACAGCGATTTTAAAACATGTGCAAGTCAAGCCTACAGACAAACCAAAGACTCAACAGGGGACATTTAGTTTGTAGAATATCAATATATAATGTCCATCAAACTGGGTTAGCATACAGCCTAGAAGAGGCACTTCACAAAATCTCATGTGGATCATGTGGATATTCTGCATTCGATGAAGACTACTGCCTAATATTTGGTGTTGGATCAAATGCCAAAAAAAGAGGATTTATCACAGTCCTGGCATAAATACCATATTAATGAAAGATTATATGACTGATATTTATGCTTGTTTGCCAATCAAGGTGGCTGGATCCATGTATGATTTGGATTCAAACCAAAGATTCATCACAAACCTGTTTTAAGTGACAAAAAATATTCTCTTCCCACTTGTACCTTGAAACCTGGCTCTTGCAGGCATAGGGTTAGAGAGACTAGGTTTGATAGTCAAACTTGTAAGGCCTGCATGGCTACCAGGCTGACACATGATTTATTTTTGAGAGATCAGTACAAGTAAAAGATGTAGAAACAAGTGCGAGTCGAGACTCCGTAATCAAATGGCATCTTTTCTACGGACCAAAGGAAATGCTGTTCGTTTGTTTTCAACTAATTATAAATAAGTGTAGCTAGTTCAGAGGTGTGGTGACTAAGTTATGCATTTCCAATTTTTGTTACTTGAGGGGTGGGGGGAAATAATAAAAAGTGAGTGGGTTATAATAATAATGAGAAGGGCAAAGGAAAAGCAGTGTGTTTATATAGCAAGAATATAAGGGAGCAGTAGAGCTGAAAGTGGCGTAAAGAGCCAAGGAGATTTTCCACATTGTGGTGGTGGTAATAATATACTATTACTTTGGGCTTAGATCTTCTGAGTGGCTAGCAAAATGGGTTTAAATCTCAGGAACTTTCTTCTTCTTCCCCCAACATTCCAACATTTTTAGTTCACCACAACCAGTCCCCTCAGCTCCACACAAAACAAACAAGCGAAAGAAAAATACAAACTAGCAGTGTCCTTCTACATCATTTTTAATCTGTGTGAGATTTCCATTGAGGAACAGATTGAAAGACCATGTCCAAAGATATTAACCTTTTCTGTTGTAAATGGTTATTTTATTTATTTTTATTTTGGCTGATCATGTATAGTTAGAGGTATTGACATTTCATTACTAAAGGCTAAATTCTGCTGCCCAAGTAAGGGCTGTGGAAGCTGTATGAGGAGTGAGGTGCACATGGGTCATGAATGCTGCAGAGCACAGCTCCAGAGCAGCGTCCAGAGCTTGCTGTGGGCCATGACCACAATAGATTCACTGGTCTAAGGGTAAAATTTTTAAAAGTGGCTAAGCAATTTAGGAGCCTAAGTCCCATTTTTAAAGTCATTTAGGTGCCTAGGAGCCTAAGTCTCATTGAAAGTCCATGAGAGTTAGGCTCCTAAGCGAGTTCTGAAAATGAGACATAGACTCCTAAGTCACGTAGGAGCTTTACAGTTTTTTTACCCTAGCTCTGTGTAGAAGTTGCACAGTAAAATGCAAACGTACTGAAACCTGGTTTTAAGAGCCCTTAAAGTTGGAAAAAATGGCTTTGTAGTGTGGACGGGTGCAGGGCTAAACCGATCTAATGCTGCTAAATCCAACCTAAACTCATAGTGTAGACCAGGTCCTAGAGAAGATATATAGAAAAGAGAGAGTGGAAAGACAATCTAAAAAGGGAGTGGACTTATAAAACAACTATCAGCATCAGAGTACACTATTTTTTCAATCACTTCAGAGCCTCCTGGCTAGGAGTTTGCAGCACACTAGTGGCCTAGAGCGCTGAACACACTCTCTCATTGACTTCAGTGATTTTGTGTGTGCTCAACACCTTTGAATATTTAGGTCATAAACCTGTTGGAAATAATTGAAGAAAAGAGAAACAAAATCAGAATAAATGGACATTAAGCTCTTCAGAGTGTTGCTCGTTAAGCAAAAAGGTTCATAAAACTTTTCATCTTAGAATATAAAAGAATAAAATCATGTGGCAAGTGTGGAAGGCAATGTAATAACACACATCAGATATTCTATTTAGCTCAGCAAAGAGTGCAACAAAAGTTTAGTGGCAATACAGTCTCTACATCGAGTATTATCAGTAGTTTGATAGCTTTGAAGAAAGAAGATCTTGCCTGTGTCCTGGGTTCCCCAAAAGGTCTAGAACTACTTCAAATAACTTCCATATTTGGTCTTATTTCTGAATAACTTGTATAATACAGGCATCACATTTCTGTATATAAAACTATCCAGCATGAATTTTATTTTATCTTATAACATTGCATTAGCAGTCTTACAGTTAAAGCTGAGATGACACCTATTTACTAATCCCTTTTTCAGTGGCTTTCAGCATTTTCAATTTACTGAAATTTTTCCTGCTTATCTCTTCTGAAAGTAGACCTTTCTGGGAGAAATTCGATGGCTTGGTCAGATACAGTAAGCATTCACTTTACGTGAACATGGGTGGATCGGGGAATATGTTTTTCGTCTATGAGGAAAAGTTGAAAATTTTTGGTTTGTTTTAAGATTTAAATTTGTCATGGATGTCGTCCTAAAAGTTGACTAGGGATGTTGCTATGTTAGGAAGACAAATTATAAAATACAGTTTTTGAGGCTTTGAAAATATATGACTGAGCATAGCACTTACTGAGTGTTTGCATTTTCATTCTGCTGCATAAACATTAAATGTAGTTTGACTTTAAAAATGTTTGTGATGCCATGTCAAATTTGTTTGATTTATAAATAAAATATGTTTTTTCTAACTGCTAGTCCCAGAGACTCAACCTGTGATCTGAAAGCTAAGCTGGGTTCTTTCCTTTTCAGACATCAACACCAAAAATAAAAAGGCCAACAAAAGCCTTCAGTTACATCCTGTGAAAACCCACTGAAGGCTTGTGGGGTTGCACAGGTGTTAAGGTAATCGGAGGCAGTGAAGTTATGCAGGTATAACTGAGAGCATCATTTGGCTTGCATCATCTTTGTGACTAGAGGCACAAAGGCAAGAGTGTGCTTTGACTCAGATGCAGATTGAATTTGCAGGGCTGGCAATTAAAAGAAAATCTTTTTACTTGTAGACTGAGCAAATTTGATGTGGAATCCATGAGGCACAATAAACCCATGATGACATTTTAAGAGTCAAAAATACATTTTTCACAGTATAGCCACAGTTTAAGGACCAAATTGTCTGGCCCTGTGTGAATGTGAAGGCATTTGGGGGAGCACATAGAGACATTGACAAGGACTGTACTATATGGCTGGTGGGTGCAAGTACTGATCTAGGCTGGAACTGTCAGGGACCATCCTCTCTGACCTGGTAAAGGACTCCTAAACACATTTCAGAGGGTGGCAGAACAGTGGCTTCCTTCTCAGTTCCCCTATGCAGGAATGGATAAGTTCCCATCCTGTCACATTATCGGAGTCGTGTTAAGTTGTACTTGGAGGGGCCCTGGGTAGATGCTTGAAGAAGGATGGCTTAAGTAATTTCCATGATGCCAGGGGCAGATTCTGTGCTGTACTTTCTGGGAGGTGCAGCCCAGGGGGCAGTGGTGGCTTTACATCACTGTTGCATCCTCATTTCGGCCCTTGGTATAAATTAGAGCAGCCCTGCAGCAGTCCAGAATCCCTTGGAGTACTATGCGCTGTGGATATGTCCCCTCCCTCTATATCTGCCTTGGTGCAGGCCCTATGCTAGGGCTGATGAGGGAGGCTGCCTAAGTCCTATGCTGCTCCTATTTCAGGGGACTTCTCCAACCTCTTGCAAGTCTTATATGTTGCCAGAGCTGGGGCCAGAATCATCCCCTTCACTCTTGACATTTGGATTGGCAGTCAGCTGAGAAAACAGTATACTCCAGGCTTGTTGCTTTTCTGTGGCTGCAACAGTTACTCTTAGTGGCTTATATATGTTGGCCCTGAATTTTGCCTGGCTGCTTCATGCCTAAGCAAGCGTGAGCAGGGAAACAAGAAGTGTCTCTTCTCCCATAATACCCCCTTGCCTTCTGCACAGAAGCCAGACACACAGTCCTTATGAGTCCCTTCAGCACAAAGACTACTAGAGTCCAGTGCTTCTGCTAGCCCTAGACTTAACAGTGTGGGATGAAAAAAAGATGGGTGTGGCCCCTACCCTGTCCACAACAGCCAGTGGAGTTGGCTCTGTTTGGTGGCAGAAGATACTACTGTGCCTTCTTTAAGGGTGGCACTCCAGGAGGCGTTGTGCCTGCCTGGGATAATTTCATCGTCCCACTGGCTATTAAGACACATTGCTTGGCAAAGAGAGTGTACTACAATGGAGTCTCACCTTTTCTCTTTTAATAACCTCTCTGTTGGATTTTATTTTAGAGTGTGCTTTACCTGTAGCCTGATCCCTTAAAGTGTTGAGTGACCTCAGCTCCCACTGAAGTCAGGGTGCTCAGCACCTCTTAGATTCGGGACAGCTGCTTTATCAGAATGTCTTCCAGAGAACAGGTTTAACCTCATAATATAGAATGACTGACTGCTGCTTTAATTGGTATAGAATTAGCATAAACTTTGTTTGACAGGGACATGAGTGGCCAGTGTCAGACGATTAAGAGATGCATAGCTAGGTATTAAAGATGTGAAATTCTAAGCTGCTGTGGGGTTTTTTTTTTAAAAATACAGAATTTGTCAAAGATCAAAAGAACCATGAATGAAATGCAGCAAATTTCATTTAGTTCTTTTGATTCATTATAGTAATCGTTATAAAATCTTTGCAGCCTTTTTTTTTTCTTAAGTGGCCCTTTCATTTGTTGAGACAAGCAGCTTAATCAGGATGATAGGCTTCCTTCTGGGGAGTCCCAGTTAAGAGGATTCTGTTGCATATGGCGAGTGATCATGTAAGGCCAAATCCTGCTTGCCCTACTCATGTGAATAGTCCCATTCAGTTCAGAGGAATTTAAATGCTGCCAAATTGACTGATTTTTACATATTTTTAAAATATTTTGATTTTATAAATTTAAATAAAGTCTCACACACTGTTGCATTCATGTAGCTGTATGTGTATAATGTGACATAAGTACATATCTTTGTATCTTATAGAGGTTGAAATATGTATCTGTATCTAGCCAGCTGTAGATGTTTATCGTAAGTATTGGATGCAGTTATTGTAATGCGATGCAGTTAAAGAAGCAATTTAATCACCTTTTTAATTTTATTTTAGGCTAATTCTGATGTCACTGTACAATGTGAGCATCAACGTGAAAGGCTTGAAGTACATTAGTGAAAGTCCAGGTTTTATTCCATTACTTTGGTGGCTATTGAACGGTAAGATTGTTACAACAGTTCAAATTGTGGACTTTTTGATAATAGCTGTTAATACATACAGATAATAGCCGAGTAGAAATTCAGATCTGTGACCTTGTTCTATTTAAATTTTATGAGATAATAAAGATCCAAAGAGAGGGAAATAACTGAAGGAATGAATATAAGTATTTCTATCAATGATTCTAGTGTATAACATTCAATTCATGTAAGAGTTATTGATGGCAGTATCCCAGTGTGGGGAGGGGAGGAATCTGATAAAGCAAATGGAAGACGGCCACCTGTACTTGCATCTATGAACTTTAAAATAGATATCTTTGATCTATGAGACACTATAAAAATGTAATTGCTGAAAACTATGTAGGGCAAGGTCAGTCTTTGATCTTGAAACAAATTAACCTTTGCAACTAAACACATCCCTGGTGTGAGGCCAGCTCTCATTGATGAGATCCATCATGGTCTAGTGCAGGGGTTCTCAAACTGGGGGTCAGTACCCCTTGGGGGTTGTGAGGTTATTACATGGGGGTGGGTTGTGAGCTGTCAGCCTCCACCCCAAACCCCACTTTGCATCCAGCATTTATAATGGTGTTAAATATATTTAAAAGTGTTTAATTTATAAGGGGGGGGGTCACACTCAGAGGTCTGCTATATGAAAGGGGTCACCAGTACAAAAGTTTGAGAACTACTGGTCTAGTGAATGGGGCATTGGATTGAAAGTCAGGAGACATAGGTTGTATTCCCAGCTCTGCCACTTGTGTGGCCCCATGTAAGTAAATTTTCCTCTCTGTGATGGTTTCTCTTCGCACGTGTCTTTTAAGCTCTTCAGCACTGGGTTTGTCTGTGTTTGTACAGTGCCTAGTGCAGCGGGGCTATTGTAGTACAAATAATAATAGAAATTAATGGGAGTTGCACCTGCTGATGCAAGGATTGAATTTGACACTTGGAGTTGTTTGATCTATAGTATTTCAATAAACTTAGGGATTTCCTATATGCCACAGGGCTCTCACATATATTTTTATATGAAAATTATGTACTCAGGCTCATCATCAAATAACTTTTTCTTCAAAGGATCACAGTTAATTAAACCTCACAACACCACTGTAAAATATCATACCCATTTTATAGATTTATACATAGCTGGGGGAGATGAATCGCTAAGTGGAAGAACTTGATTATATGTTTTTTTGCCCTGCAGTACACAGAAACCTTACACACATTGCTCCACATTTCCTTCTTTGTCAAGCTAATATTTCGGGCATTATTCTAACAAAACTGAGGTGACTGAAGCTCCCAAATGTCCCATTCAAAAGACGTTGATAGAATAAATTAATCTTGCTTGGAGCTAGATATCTGATCTGATTTTATTTTTTAATTAAAGCTCCTATGGTCACATAAGCAGACAAAGTATGATATACAATTGATAGTATTTAATTTGCAATTGTTGATGAAAAAGAGGTTGAAAGGCTGTTCTGCATTCTAAAGGTATCACTCATCTGTGTCTGGAGTGAGAGAAAGAGACAGGCTTATATAATACCTTCACTCTCTGAAGTTCTTAAATTCTGAGAAAGGACAAGGATTCCCAGGCAGTGTGCACCTGCCAGTTCAGATTCCTGAGTGCTGAGAAGGCCTGCTTCCAGTTGACAGAGATGGCTGAGTAGTTTGCGCAACTGGACCCACGGTACTGAACAAAGGATGAGCCCAGGATCTACCCTCACTCCCATCATCTTCTTTAGCAGGAGGTCCAGGCAGTTTTCGCTGCGCTCAGGGCTTTCTTCACCTTTTCAAATTGCCTTAGCAGTTTTGTTTTTTCATTTCTCTCTTTTTCCCCTCTTGTTCCTTCCTTCCACTGCTTGCAGGGCCCAGCCTCCCAGGCCAGGACCCATGATTTCAGAGACATCAGGCACCCCAGCCCTGCCTGCTTCCATTTTCCACACACTTCTTAGAAAGTGGCTGGAGCACTAGTTTATATAGTCTCAGGGTTACTCTGCTTGTGTTTCAGTAAAGGAGGGGACTCCTGCAAAGAGCAGACTGGGTAAAGGTGGTATCGCCCCTGTGATGCCTGGACTTTCCATAGCTCCTCAAGCTTTCTCTCAAGGCCTTCAAAGTTCCCACTCAAGGAGCCCTCAGAGTCATCCTCTGACTTCTACCACTGCCATTACAGGCCCTTCTGATACTCTTCACCCTCTCTACCCTGCAAGTGCCTATGACCTGGAATTTCAAAGTGTTTATGGATTTATATCCCAGGAGCCTTTCTCTGGTTTCCCTTCCTGTGGCATGCCTAATTACACTCCTTACCAGCCCTCCCTGAACTTGTCAGTCGAGATCCAATCCCCTTCGGAGGAAATCTAAACAAGAATATTCCTTCCAAGAAAGAGAAGTAAGCAAAAAATATTCAGTTTAATTCAAAGAAGGCTCATTTTTTTCCTCCCGCCACTATTTTTTCATTTGAAGGAAGGAGAGATTTCTTCTTTCCTATCTGACTCCAGGAGACTTTTTCAAGATAGCAAAGCTGATGAACTGATTCCTGTTGTCATTAAATCCTTGGATATTAAGAAGAGATCCCAAATAGATGAAAAATCTTTAGGAAGAGCTGGGTTTCCCTATCCCAATGTCTAGAAAATGTTGATGATGCCAAATGGCCTCTCTCACAGCAGAAATAGATTGTAGTAGCTGTGTCTGTAATAGACTGTATAAATTACAAGAGAATAAAAGCTAACATTTGACACACCTGCTGAAGTTAATGCTTCTCCTTCTTAGCTTGTTTTTGTACAAAAGTAATCCCTGTGGAATGGTGCAGTCCTAAAGGATCCAGTGGATAAGCAGTATTGATTATAATCTGAAAAAGGAACAAATCCTTAACTATAGCTTTGAAAGCTTCTGTGGTCACATGGGCATCACTCACAAATCTCTAGGGGGTAGAAAGGCCAGCCCCAAGCCTAAATGAATTAATGAAGTAGCTCAAGTTTCTTTGTTTGTGGTGCAATTTGAGGTGAAGGTAGGGTCTCTTCTCATGTTCTCCCATCTCAAGAAGCGCAATTTGTCTACAATCACAGGACGCTGACACCTTCTTGAGGACCTGTGTGATATGAGCGCTTTTCAAAGGCCAGTGTCTCTGTGGTTGGTCCTGGCTAATGCTATTCTATTATCTGCAGATATAAAGAAGCTCCATCTTTCTCAGCAACATAAATTTTCTTTCTGATACAAAGCCTTTTGAGACTTCTGATTTCTTAGTGCTTCATTCCTCCAAATACAATAGGTATGTCTCATCTTCTCTCTTACAAAGTGCTAGACCAAGAACACCTTTCTCTGTTAATCACCAAGCATTAAGCATCAAGGAGAAGCAGTTGGCCCAAGTGTTACTGATTGGGAGTGGGCTCAGATTTGCCACTTCTCCTGGGCTAAATCAATTACAAGAAAAAGGAGCATATAGGGAATTCATTGGGCTATTCTCTGTGTGACGGGGCACGACTCACCATTGCAGTGCCTCCTGCTGGCTGTCCTGGCAATTAGCTCGTGGTTGCCAGTGCGCCCTCCTTAGGAGGTGTCTCTCCCGTTGTCACTCCTGTTTCCTTGCCCAGGACCCAGGTCCTCTTCTGGACACAGCCCTCTGGCTGTGCCTCACTTGGTTCTTTCCCTCCTTCTGGGGGACCAACAATCCTCAGTCTAACCACTTGCCTCAGTGGCAATCTGCAGTCCAGGTTCTAGCCACTCATCTCAGTGGCAGACTGCAGTCAGTGCATGGGCCACTTCCCCCAGTGGCCAGTGGGGGCAAAGGAGAGGGGAGTCCAGGCCCACCCCCTACTCCAGGCTCCAGCCCAGGGACCCTATAGCCGACAGCCAGGTACTACCCCTCCTCCAACTCTGCCGTCTCCTTACCTGGGCTACTTCCCCACAGCCCCAGCACCTCCTCTGCCCTTGTATCAGGGCCTCAGTTTGGCAGCTGTCAGCCTGGAGCTTTCTCATACTCTACTGACCCTGCCCAGCACTGGTCTGTCTATGGTCCTCCTCCCTTGCCCTTCAGGGAGTGATTGCCTCCTCCTCTGCTCAGCAGCCCCTTCTTATATGGGCCAGCCTGGCCGTGATTGGCTCCTCCAATAAACCTTCCCCTAACTGGCTGGCACTAAAGTCTTTTTCTTATTGGCTGCCTCCTGCACAGCCTCCCCAGGTTTGCTTTAAAACCCTTTACATACCAGAGAGGGGCAACTTCCCCATCACACTCTGGTATTCCCCTTCATTATTATCTCTTACTTTATGGCAACTTTTCTCTTTTTTTTTTTTTTTGAACACTGCCAAAAGATTGGTGCTGTTGAATTTGAACTCAGAGGTGTTACAGAAATTGGAGGGATTATCACTGTGCCATATTCCCCTCAGTTCTAGGGAAATTACTCAGGTATTTCATAAAACAAAGGAGGGCAGGAAGCTCGAGTGTTCTTAGATCGCTCGTCTCTCAGTTTTTCTCCTGAAACTGTCATAGTTCTATTTGAAAACTCTTATTGTTGATCCAAGAAGTTTCAGCAAATGACTATCTCTACTCTGTAGTTCTCAGTGAAACATACCTTCACTTTCCTAATACTCCCTGCCACCTTCAATATTTGCTTTTCATGACTGATCCTAAACATTTCCAGTATATAGTTTTTCTGTTTGGATTGTCTGTGTGTCTCAGAATTTTTTGAAGATCCAGGTCCTTCTCATGGTAGCACCTCTTTTAGAAGTCATCTTGGCTTTCTATTAGCCCAATGTCTTATTAATCAAATCCTCTAATTCTTAGATTCTCTAATTCTCATACTAGCCAACTCTCAAACAGTTCAAATTCTTCAGACTTTGAAATCAGTTTTCAGAAGAGTGCCCTTAACCACTTCAGGACCATATTCATCTCAGCACTCATTTAATGACTGAGTCTTCATCTTCATGCCTAAAAACAAATTCCTCCAAATCAAGTCTCTCATGAATAGCACAGAAAATTTATATTTGTCTTTATTTATAAGAAATCTTAAAGGTTCTAA